ATCACCCACAATGACACAGTGAATCGTGATGTGACATTACCTTGAGCGGTTATGATTTTATACAGATCTAAAACTGGCCAATGAAATGCTGCAGTTTAACAACAACACATAATTATGTTATCACATCCCAGCTGATTTTTCCGAAGGAAACTTTTTTTTCATGCAAAAAGAATTTCTGAATCATTCCATTATAAGATTTACATTTAGAAACATAATGTAATTGACTAGGAACCATAGGAACAGGAGCCATTCACCTAATCCACCAGTTTATTACATCATAGCAGATATTTTAATTTCCGTTCCTTGTCTTTTCTCCATAATCTTAATACCCTTGCTTCCCAAGTATATATCATCTCCTTTTTAAACTTCCCAACTCATTTTGCATACATGGGATTTGGGAAACTGTTGGATAGAAAGGCTTAATAGTGTGGTACCCTTCAGTTTCACCCACAAAATACAGTCAATTCACTTTACAGTATATTCTGTGAAGTGCTTTGAGATGATATGATAAGGCGCTATATCAAATGCAATGATTATTATTATCATTATAGTATGCTGGTAGGTGGTCACACATGAATAAGACCGACCTGTGCTGTCAGCATCCATAGTACCGTACACTCGCATAATTCCTCTAGAGAGTGGAGAATGGAAACAAAAACTGGAAGCACGAATGTAAAATCTTCATAACGCACCTTATCTAGAAGTTGCTCTTGCAATGCTGTGGATGCATTCATTCTTCCTGCTGATGCTGCTGGACCTGTGATATTGTCATTGAACACGACCGGGTTTTTGCAAACTAAAGTTCTGATAAGATAGAGAGGGGTGGAGGAGAGGCAGATCTCATTGCTGTTAGGAAGTTGAAAGTTAAATTCTGTTCATTGTTGTGTTTTGCTTTCCTGTGCAGAGAGATTTGCAGCAGCTGGGTCTTTCATAATTGATACTGGCAAAATCAGCAGAGGTCACTAAGTCACAGAGCCTGCCAGCAGACATGCGATAAAATTATTCAAACTAGGTCATTGTGGGCCTCTATTTGCAAACAAAAGTGGGGAAGGTTTGTCATCAATTTCACATTTTTTCTCTTTAGTAATGGGATTCTGTCACACACTAAAGACATGTTGAAATGCTGCTCATAGTATAAACCAACAAAGCCAACTTGATGATCTCATGAACCATCTAACGTGACTACCAGGTTAGAAATAGACACAATCTCATTGAATTTTAGAAAAAAAGTCTGTTAAAGAAACGTTCACCCTTTGTGCTCTTCCGTGAAACCAGTACCATTTTGGAAGAGCTTTTTTTCAAACATTTCCACTTGGTTATAACCATGGCCCTGATCTCCCTGTGACTCACCACTTCACTCCCCTTCACTCTGACCTAGGTTTGACTTTCCACACGGGTTCAACCCACTCCAGCTTCCGAAGCTTATTGTTTTCATCTCTCAGGCCCGAATACCAACATTAAAATCTTCAAACCTTAGAAGTCTCCTCCATCCCATGGATCCATCCCTTTCCCCCTTTACTTTTGCATTACGGAGTTAGACTGGAGTCATGTTTTTTTAAAATAAAGCTCCCAAAATTTGCATTTTAAGAATTATTAACTGTCACATGCTTCTTTGTGTCATCATTTTTTGTTTATTCCTAATCTCTCTCTTTTTTTACTTCATCCCCTTCGTAAATCTGAGCTCCCCAGCTCACTATATCTGTTGTGATTAGGGTTCACATCCCAAAACGTTAATATATCTTTCCTCTGACATGTTGGCTGACTTGTTGTGAACTTCCAGCTCTTTGGCTATATTTTTTAACAAAATAATTTCTACTCTTCTGTTTCCATCAGATAGCGGAGACACTCAAATAAAAATCATGTATTATATTAGGTTTGGATACTTTGTACCTTGGACTGCTAGGTAATCCAAAATCACCCAACAGGAAATCCAAATCAGAGTGATTTGGTTCAAGAAACACCATGTACTGAAATCAGGCCAATTCTTAGCTTGAAATAGAAACGAGAGGCAATGTTTAGACGTGGAGGTATAAGTATCATGAGAACAGGACAAACTGAACCAACTGAAGGTAGTTGAAATAATAAGTGCTGGATATGAAAATATTTCACCACGATCTTAGAACAGAACGAGAGTGAATTCAACAACTGGAACCAGTTAGTAGAAAGGCTAGCTGAAACCGCCACTGGACTCAGTCAAGCAACAGCCCGATGCCCTTCGGGAAGATAAGATTGGTATTCTGGGAGGAAAAGACAAACATATTTATAACATTTCAGACAAATTGAAGATTGAAGAGAAACATTTGGAAAGATAAATCTATTGGGTACCTTAAAAATATGCTAAACACCAAGTCACACAGAAATAACTGATTACCATGTAAAGTTTATAAATAGTTTGATCCGTTGACAGATAGATTACCAAAGAATCAAACAACCTGTCAAAGACCGTAAACTAAGATTTCAGGATTTATTTACTCGTCCATGCAGTCAATGTTTGGAATCAGCTCAATTTTGCTAAACAACACGTTCCATTAAAGCAAACACCACGTGAACAAGGAGTTTTTATTGACAATGAAGTGATTGGATCCCGTATCAATTCTATTCAGACATACTCTATTGCTCAACATCTTTTATTTGGTGATGTGTTTCACCTCCAAGGTTCCTAACGGACTTTTCATAGGACCTGTAATGGCTCAGAACTCACTAAGTTTCTACCCCACTTTGCTGTTATAAACAGTTATAAACTGAGCCATTATTTGAACGTTGGTAGATTGGTTTTGTTGCAGTTATGATGGGAGGCGGCCTGGCAGTGGATTGTACATGGAGAAGGAATATTGCAGCTGTTTCTTCCCCAGTCAGCCAAGCAAGATAATGAGTCTCTACGACTTGTTCCTCCCTTCCTATGTTAAAAGCCCGCCTCAAGATTTATCTCTTTGACTGCACTTTCAGACTCTTTTCCCTCCCCACCCTCTTCAACTGCCATTTCCCCCTCTCTCCCCACCCAATAGTATGAAATGCTCTGAGACCTATCCATCGAACATGAAAGTCGCTATGCTGTATAAATGTAAATTGAAAGGGATACCAACAATATCTCAAGAAAGTTCCATTTCAGAGGGTGAAATAACAACAACAAAAAATTACATTTCACGTCGGGAGGATGTCCCAAGGCGCTGGACATTCAGGATTTGGACCCAAACAGCGGGTTGGGATCAGGAGAGGTGGAGGCTAGGGAGTGTAGGGGTAAATAAAGAGGAAAGTATTGAAATACCATGATTAACATTAACAAATGTGAAACATAAATGAACTTTGTTTTATTGGAAATTACGTCACACTGGCGCAAACCTTCCTCCATAGGGCAAGATAAACACGCACAATTACCTGTTTGTAGAATGTACATTAGACAGAATAGTAAAAACTCTGAAAGGTTTAATAAAATAAGTTTACTTAAAGAATATATTCTCTGATTATAATGGGCAACATTTCACCCAGAAATATACAGTCAATTCACTTTACAATATATTCTCTGAAGCACTTTGAGACATCTCAACAACACAATAAGGTGCTATATCAAATGCAAAGATTATTAAAACTTTGCTTCTGGCTGGAAGTATGAAAATCCTCCATTACTTCAAATAATAGCATTCCTGGAAAATTATTTTGTACTCTTTTATCTGAAACATGCACAATGGACTATCTTTTGTTCATATTGACAATACAGTGCTTTTCCATCTAAATCGTGTAGGTCAATGGCTGCAGATTGATAGAAGCCAGAGGCAGAGTTTATCATTTCTGCTGACAGTCCAACATTTTCTTTTAGGGGGTGGTGGGTACCATGTGTTTTTGCAATTGTTTCCATAGCAATTGAGCCTTGTGTGCATGTATAGGTGTGTATGTGTGTGAACTGCGCAAGCATTTATTGCCAATGTGAGGAGTATTAATGACGAGTTTTACCACTGGAGGCTTGTGCAATCTGACTGAGGCAGAGATTTAGCTCAAAGGGCAGCAACACAAAAGCCAAGCGAGCATTATTTTCTTTCACCTTTAATATACATTTCGTAACGATAGAAAAAAGAACTACGTGGCACATGCCAATATGTTTCCCCACCATCAGCCATTGTTGTTTGTCATTGGTGTGAACTAAAACATTTTGCCAGAAGCAACAAGCAATGAATGTTCAATGCAGTGCTGTCCAAGGTTAAAGTATGTGTGTGAGTGGGTGTGGGCGACCAGCTCAAAAAAGGCGTCATTTATTAATGTCAGTTTAAAAAGTTTGCATAGAGTTTGCAACAGACCCATTTGCTTCTCGCAGTTGCCAAGTAATTTATTCCCCCCAAAAAAGAAACTTATTGATTTCTCTCCATTAATTTGAACACAGAGAAAAGAACGTAACGACACACACATACTCCCAAAAATAAAACAAATCATAACGAACCGGACTTATCATGTCCAAGTCAATCTGAGTGAGTTAAATTTCGCCCACAAAGCACACAGTCACCACACTTTACAGTACAGGCTGTGAAGCGCTTTGAGACGTCTCGAAGACGTGATAAGGCGCTGTGTCCAATGCGAGGATTATTATCACATTATCAGATAGCATGCAACCAGAGAGCAGAGTAATAAAATTCTATTGAACACCTGATTTTTAACCTGAGTTCAAAGTGGATGCACGAGTCGCTCTGGGTTTTTTTTTAAAAAAAAACATAAAATAAAAACGTTACAACAATAAAAATCACACTTGTAACAGAGCGCCTTTCACGTCGGGAGAACCTCCCAAGGCTTCTTCCCGATGTTTCACTTGCAAATATAGCGAATGGGATTTATCATGTCCAAGTCAAATTTATCAAGTCAAGTAAATTTCGATTGACAGGCACCAGAAATAATAATTACCCCCAAAACCCCCCAATCTACGTTATACATTAAAAGATTTGATTTGATGGCATAATCTGCGACCAACTCAACAACAACAAAAAAAGTTTTGAAAAAATATATATATCTATCTATCTATATATATCTATGTCATTATATCAGTTTTTTTTATATATATATATATAAAAAAGTTTGCCACAGTTCAGTCTGGAGCTGAACCTCAGCTCGAAAGCCTTTCCCCAGGAGAGCGAGCGGTCAGGAGGACAGTGTTCAGGTGCAGAGGCTCGTGTCCAGAGGCTGAAGCCGCTGAGGCACCGGCAACTCCCGCAGCCCCTCCGGGAGCTTCTCGGGTGAGATGCAGCCGATGGCGGTCTGCATGGCGGTGACCGACAGCGGTGGGGGGGTCCGGCCGGTCAGCCAGTCGAAGGTCCTGTCCCCCAGCAGAACCCGCCAGGGGGTCACTTCGGCTCGGAGCACCGGCTGCAGTCTGAAGCGCAGGACGGGCGTGAAGAGCAGCAGGTTGTCCAGGCAGACCATCAGGAGCTCAGGGGTGTTGGGGCTGGAGGGGGTGTTGGGGGGGTGTGGGGTGGTGGGGGGGTGTGGGGGTTGGAGTTGGGGGGGTGTGGGGGCTGGAGTTGGGGGGGTGTGGGGGCTGGAGTTGGGGGGGTGTGGGGCTGGTGTTGGGGGGGGTGTGGGGGCTGGTGTTGGGGGGGTGTGGGGGGTGGAGTTGGGGGGGGTGTGGGGGCTGGTGTGGGGGGGGTGTGGGGGGTGGGGGGGGGTGTGGGGCTGTTGCTGGGGGTGGTGTTGGGGCTGGTGTGGGGGCTGTGGGGGGGGGGTGTGGGGGCTGTTGCTGGGGGGGGTGTTGGGGCTGGTGTGGGGGGGCTGTGGGTGGTGGGGGGGGTGGTGTTGGGGCTGGTGTGGGGGGGGCTGTGGGTGTTGGGGGGTGGTTGGGGCTGGTGTTGGGGGGGGTGTTGGGGCTGGTGTGGGGGGGGCTGTGGGTGTGGGGGGTGTTGTGGGGGTGTGGGGGCTGTTGCTGTGGGGGGGGCTGTGGCTGAGGCGGCAGAGCAGGGTGTCCAGCGGGGTGTTGCCGTGGCTGTCGGCGATGTCGGGCGCGGAGCCGTGAGCCAAGAGCAGCGCCAGACACTCGGCGCGGCCCAGCTCACAGGCCACGTGCACCGGGGTCTTCCCGCCCTCCACCCGGGCGCAGCCGGTCCGGTTCAGGTAGCGGCGGCGCTCGCCGGCGGGGAAGCCCCGCAGGGTGTGCAGGATGCCCCGCAGGATGGCCACCCGGTTGTACCGCACGGCCATGGCCAGGTGCGGGGCCGAGGCCCGGCAGCAGCCGAAGCTGTCCCCGGGGGCGGCCAGGGCGGCGCGCGGGTCTGCGGTCAGCAGGTGGGCCCCGTACGGCCGGTGGTCGTGCACCAGCGCGTAGAGCAGCGCCTCCGAGGCCGAGTAGGCGCTCACCCGCCCGCTCTCCTCCCAGTGGAAGACCTCCATCCGCCGCATGTCCTCCAGCAGCCACACCGGCAGCAGCTCCCGCACCGCCAGGTAGAAGGCGAACGAGGACTTCTTGCAGCGCTTCTGGGAGTAGTAGTCGCGGGAGTGCAGGTCCCGAGGCATCGTCCGACCGCCGACCGACCGACCGCCCGCGGACCCTCCGGTGATCTGTGTCCCTCTCTCTCTCACACACACACCGCTCGAGGGACCTCTCCTCCTCTCTCTCTCTCTCTCTCTCCCTCACGGTGTGTGCGCGCTGTGTACAGGGGTTAGAACAGAGGCTCTCAGCGTCTGTCTCACCTTCTCCGCGGCGGAGACTTCGACCCCTCACACACTCACTCACTCACTCCCCTCGGCGGTGCCCGGGGTCTCGGTGCTGCCCCCCCCCGGGGCCGGGCTCCCGGCACTCGGTGCCCCCCCTTTTATTTCGCTGGGGGCTCCCGCTGGACGTCTCTGCCATTGGTGGCGCCCCCAACACCGCCCCCCACCCCCCCCTCCCTCCCCGCGTCCCCTGTGTGGAGGGAGGGAGGGAGGGAGTGAGGGAGGAGTGAGGGAGAGGGAGGAGTGAGGGAGGAGTGAGGGGGAGGGGACTCCCTTCTCGTTGGGTGATACAAACGTGAGGGTTCGGCTCACTCCGCAACCGGACAAACCGCCTTGACCGCTCAGGGTGACCCCCCACCTGAAGCTCGGACTCACTCCTGCCCCCCACCACCCCCCCGCCGCCCGCTCTTGTTCGACCCTCAACTGTCTTTTCTCCCCCCCCGCCCCCCCCCCGCCACGCCCGAGCCCCGACCCGCCCGCCCGCCCGCTCTGCGAAACTCTCGTTCGTGCCTTCACCGCCTCCCGGCTCGACCGTGCCATCGCCCCCCGTGTCCCCCTTCCCACCTCCTCCCTCCACCGGCCGCGGATAATCCAGGACTCTGCAGCCCGTGTCCTCTCCCGCACCAAACTCCGCGACCCCCATTCTCGCCCGACTCCACTGGCTCCCTCTCCTTCAGGGGATCCGGTTCAAGATCCCGGTCCTCACCTACAAAGCCCCCCACGGCCTCGCCCCACCCAACCTCTGCGACCTCCTAATCCCTTACCAACCCGCCCGCTCCCTCCGCTCAGCCGACTCCGGCTGCTCCACGTCCCCCCGACCCACCCGCCCCACCATTGGCGGGAGAGCCTTCAGCCACTCTGCCCCCAACCTCTGGAATTCCATCCCCCGGTCACTCCGCCTCGGCCCCTCCTTAGCCTCCTTCAAGTCCCCCCTCAAGATCCTCCTCTTCGACCATACCATCAGCCACCCCCCCTTCCCCTCCCGTCCCTTATCCCGCCAACCTCAGCTCGGGTCTGAAATGCTGTACACGGTCCAGCGCCTCGGGACGTCCTCCCGACGTGAAAGGCGCTATACAGATGCAATCTTGTTGCTGTTGTAAAATGACTCTCTCATTGCCTTACGTCAAAGTAACTTCACTGAGATATCCACAGTATTTCCGTTGTGTGAACTATTTGCCTTTAGAATGCTGTACTGTTTTTAAAAACGTTTTTTGTTTTGGTTTAGCCCGTGTCTGACGTGCGGAAACCAATCACCGCGCATAAGAGCATACAACCGAGACAGAATTACACGTCCTTATGCGATCTACGTTTCTGTGTAGGTCGAAAGGTTGGGCAAGTTTCCTGCCAAACAGACGCCTGTTTATCAAGCAGTAAATACGCAACCGGTTGTTAGTCGATTGGCGGATCACTTTTCCGGGGCTACTAATCCCTTCAAGTAAAACAAAAATAATAATAATTTGGTCACTCAATCCAATACTGTTTGTGGGACGCTGCTGTGCGCATTTGGCTGTCTTGCTTCGCCCACAAAATATAGTTATGGGTGTGAAGTGAATTGACTATAACTATACACTGTCAAATATTGCACTTGTAAACACATTCAAAAAATAACATGAATGTTGAGCCAGTCGCGTATTAGTCACAAACATGGATTCAGCAAAACATCTTGGTGCAATTGTGCAAAACAGTAAGTTCAATACAAATTGCTTTTCCAGCTAAGTTGGTGAGAACGATCATCAAACAGTAACATGGACTCAGCAAAATAGTGTTAGTCTCTTTGGGTCTGTTTGTTGAAACCTCTCTTTAAATTAATTAAAACAACTGGATGTCGCAGCATGTCTAATGTGTATAATTAATTGTACTCTGTATGAGATTCCACGCTGACTTAATATTATATGATGCATTACAACTTTAGAATTAAAATAGTTAATTTCCTTAATAGGAGTGTTTCACAATCTGGCCACAGAAACTCAATTTAATTACAGATTAGTCATGAGTATTTTTAAGCATCCATTGTTATGGAGCCACCTAGCTATTTCTTAATGGTTCAACCTATTGTAAAAAGATATCAAAATGCTCTTTTGAATACCAGTTTAATTCAATGTACTGCAGTTTATCACATACCAGAGGAAAAGACCTTGGATTGATTTCTGAGCTCGTACCTAACCTGCTTCAGAAGGAAGAGGGAGTTATTAGTTGAATAATTATTCTTGCAAGATAGCTTCCAATGAAATATGAAATTGTACTGGATGGGCTTTGATACTGCCTCGGTATCAAAACATTGAAAAATTTGGCTTACACTTCTCCCATATCTGTGTCATAACTTAAGGGGGATGTTGAAAGAGACCTCTATACAGTATATTAAACTGACATCGCTCACCACGTCGAAACAATGTAAGGCAAATAAAAACAAATCAGTAAGTAGGATGTTAGGCTACGTTACCACATCAGCTGAGTTCTTATCCCCAGAATTTATGTTGAAGAGATCTCTGGTCAGGTCACACATGCATGAAATATCGATAAACTGGGATAGGGGGTTAATAAAAAAAGGCCAATTTAGAAAAACAGCTAACAGTGACACAGGAACGAGCTGAATGTGCAAAACATTTCTATGCCTATGAAATCTTTTGTGTGTAGTGTATGGATTAGAATTCCTCTTTCAAAATGCAGAGGCGGTTTATAGCTAAGTGCAGATATCCAATACATGGCATTGCTTTTGAAATCAGCATTCAGTGGTAAGTGTAACAAAGATTATATTATAATATTTAAATGAAAGGGCTAAAAAAAGGCATTCAATAAAGGAGCACGCTATTGTATATAGGAGATTGCAGATGTAATTAGTTCATACAGCACCATAAATCAAAAGCTCTATTTGCTTGCTTTAATCTTATAAAACAGTTAAGACATGTTAATAATGATGCTCTGTGGTCAGCGATATTTCAGAAGAGAAATTTAATCCTACAGGGATCATCTGACTAAATAAAAATAGTAACAAAAATAAGAATGAAGTCAAGCAGGAGTAAAGCAATCAATGGGGGAATTCATGTGACTGCTTCAGGCAAAATGTTGGAGAGAGATCTCACTTGTCCAAAGCCCCAAATGGAGTTATGTGAGTTATCCACAATATAATGTAACATGGGTTGATGAATACACATTTAGCAACCAGCATTATCACAATATCTGCGATTTTATACCATATTCAAATTATGGATGTTGCTTTTTCAGTTTATTGCATTATTATTAAATCACCTGTTTTAGGTGGATGTTAAAAGATCCTCTGGCACTATTTCAAAAGAGAAGGGAGGTTCTCAAGGTTTGCTAGCCAACAATTCTCCAGGTAAAACTGGTTTCGTGGATATTGATGTGTACAAATTGACTGAAGTGTTTGTCTACAAATACACTGTCACAACATTTTACAGGAAAACCTTGTGAGTGGGTCTCCATTTCACAGAACAAAATAAAATCCACAAAAAGGGCCTTTACTCTTACTGTACTACCAAGTCACTCTTCATCAAATACAAATTCTTAGAGGAAAATATTCCAAACAGCTGTAGCTTTATAAAATATATGTGTGTGTGTGTGTGGAAAATATTTAGTTTCTTTATTGCATTTGGATATGCAACCGGGATACAAGTACCGCGTGTAGTCACTAAAACAGTAACAACCTAAGCACACAGTGTAAACCGTTCTTGTAAACATTTTAATAAGTTTTCTGTTATGTATAATTAGGAACATTTTTATAAATAAGTTTAAATATACAAACAGCTACATGCATGTTAGCATTACCTAATTATGGGATGGCTTAAATACCACTAGAGCATTTTCCAATGAACTCATATAAGCCATTGTTAACAATTCTTCACTTCATTAAGTGGTTACCCTACAATTTACACATTAATATCTATAAAGTCTTTCAGGCTGGAGTAGATTTGGAATGACATCAAAAGGCCACAATCAAGTTAAAGCTGCAGAGTCTCACACATGCATGTATTCCTTCTAAAGTCGAATCTTGAGTTCAAAGACATTTCAGAGCAAACATCTATTAGAAGGGCTTTTTAAAGGAATGAAAAGCTTTATTGGGCAATTCAACTTGAAAAAGACAAATATATATAAAAAAATAAAATGCACATCAAGACTCAGTACTTTTTTCTTTTGGCGATTTTCTGCTTCATTAAAGGGCTCAATCTAACAACGTTCCACAGCATTAGCAGCTCTGTGGTACCAATGGGCATTATTCATGAGCGAGTCTGGATGAGTGCCTGGCTATTCGACTATGGAATGCCCAACTCTGTTGCTGTTCAACATCCACACATGGACTTTCCAGCCGGAGTCACTGGGTGTCGCCTCATCTCTTTCTTTGAATGTATACAATTCAGTGTGAATGTTTGTTCTCCAATGGAGGGATGCCAATGCTGGAGAATGGAAGACGTCCGCTCTTTGGGACCCAATGCCAGAATCAACTGTTCTTGGGTCAGTTAAAGCACAGGCTACATACAGAGCAACACTTCTTTTTACCCTATTTTAACATTGTACTTCAGTTCCAACCTTCAGAGAGCAATTCCCATTTCCCATAGCCAGTTTCTCTGAGTGAGACTGACAGTTTTGTCCAAATTTATGCTGAATTATAGGAAACCTTGGGTTGTAGACCTGTGGCCATCCAGAGCCTACAGATGACATGTATATGTGCCTTTGAAGACAGTAATGGAATATGTTAACCAATATAAAGGATATCCTTTACTTGTCAGTAAATTACCAAACTTGGTCATGTGTACTGAACCTGAATTATGTGTAACTGAACAATTCAACCCACTGAACTACAGTCTGTAAATATTGCATTTTAATTACCTTTCTGAACAACGTTACCTGCTTAAAATTCTATCAAACTTCGTTTAACAAAAATGTTTGGAGGTTTGCCAGATATCAAATTCCTACTCTACAAGTCACCCTTAAATAGTAAGGCACATGGCTCCTAATGCTTTTCCAAACACGTAAGCTGTCAGCATCAATACCAGTGTAAATGCAATAGCCTTTCATTAACTGAACTTTCACGCAACTACTTGGACATTTGCCACACACCCTTACATAACTGGACATCTTAGAAATGGTTTAGACGATTCTGACCAGCTGAGCAGACCCAACAAAAAACTCTGGCAATTTCATATTAAAGAAATACTAGGGCAACTAAATTTAATTCACATTGCACAGTCACTACACTTTCCAATATATCCTGTGAAGCACTTTGAGATATCCTCCTGACATGAAAGTCGCTATATCAAATGCAAGGATATTTAGGAATTTTAATTTTAAAAAATAGAAGCAAATTGTGTTTTTCTCGGCTGTATTCTTTCTGTTTCTTTCTGTATTCTTTCTGTTCCAAACCTTTTCGGTTCTGAAACAAAATGCGGCGAAATAGTTAAACAATGTTTTATAGCAAACCGTATATTGGTTCGCAGCAAGTAGCTTTTATGGTTCTCTTTAAACAAAAAAAGCACACCCATTCCAAATTGTCAAAGTGCAAAATACAACAGAATAAACACTCAAACTTTATATGAGCTGTATATAATCTATACCTTAATATCTACAAATTCTATCAGCCAAGTGTAAACATTTGGAGTTTTTTGTCCTTTCACAAGATGGAGGAAATAACAACCAAAATCCATTTGCCAGAACCTGTAATTACAGCTGTCTGCTTCTATTGACTTTAATGAGGCAAAAACAATTAACTAACCTTTGAATTACGTGCTGCCATTGTGAACAAGAACTACACTAAATGACAGCATTTAATGTAGTTCTTAGCCTCGTCACTATTGGTTAGAAAGCAATGCCTTTATACAAAGATACACTCTGAAACAAAACAACCAATTTTAAAGCATCAACACACTACACTAACACACTGATCTACTGCTTATTATTATTATTAACAAATGTACCCAACTCATCCATCCTCAACTCCCCTCCTTGAGACTGGTGGAACTATATGTTTTTGTTGTCTACTCTCAATCGCAGGGCAAGTTCCACTTACAAACTATAGAGACTCCCTAATGAAACAGACAGGTTAGTCGATTCGCTGATTAAATCAGTGCTATCGTCGTATGTATATGACTGTTGACAGTGGCTAAACCTTTATTATCCACACTGCCTCGCTTTCCCAGGAGGACCGAGAAGTGATGACAGGACAGTTAGTAGCAAAACTTCAGATGGGAAAAAAAAAGAAGTGCAGTCATTTTCTGCACCTATAAAAATTGTGATTTTTTTCTGTTGCAATGGCAGTTGATGTGTGAATTTGTTGCTTGATGCCTTATAAAATCCAAACTATGTAAACCAATGAAGCATGTCAGTTTTTGAGGTAATGTCAGAATCTCAAAAGTCTAAAATAGTCAAGAAGCAGTAATTCAATAACAAAGGCTGACGCATGGATTAATAAATGATTTGCTGTAGAAAGCCAGCCCAATGTCACACTTTGCAGTCGAAAAGCAACCATTTTTAGTCAATACCTGTCAATTAGAAGGCAACACACCAAGACCTTTAGTTACTCTGCTGAATAAAATGCCTATTTGTGTAGTGATATTTGCACAGCTATGAAGATGTGTGAAATTAAATCATGTACATTGATAGCATTGCAGAAATGGAGAATTATTTCGTACAGACGTGGAAGTTGGATGCAACAGTTCAGTCTTATGGGTTTATACAGCTATAAATAGTAAATATTTTAGTTCACTGTCCTTAGTGATGCAAGATGCAGTGCCTCTGATCTTCATATGACCTCCCATTCATCATCAAAGTCCTCCGACTGGCACAACAGGGAGCTTCGGCTGGATTTAGCTAGAGTATTGGAATGACTAAATGCTTTAGTAAGCCGCTGTAGAAGAGAGCCTCCTGGACTAATAGCCCACAGTTCATCTTGAGGAGTCACTGTACAGAAAGGAATATTATATCTATTATTAAAATCCAAAAAGCACTGAACATTCAAACTCAAATGACCTGATGTAAAACAAAGCAGCAAATCATTTAGCAATGATATTTAGTACTTTTGTAACCTGCAATTCCAGGGAATCCCTCAAGTTGTATCCCTAACTGAAAGACGCAACGCTTTCCCGCTTTTTGTATGCGTAATGTCAAGAGTTCATCAAGTCGTATTTTACCAGATAACCATTTCTCCAAAAGCTAAAATTATTTTATCGTAAATTTGTTTTGTGGCACAGCCGAGCCTACCTCTCCTCACCCATCTGCCACACGTACAACAACAACAGCAAAAAAATTGCATTTTTGTAGCGACTTTCACGTTGGAAGGATATCCCAAGACGCTGGACAATTAAGGGTTTGCACTCGAGCTGGGAGTTGGAATCAAGCAGCGTGGAGGGTAATGGGTATATATATATCTATATGTATAAATAAATCATACGCACTATCCTGTAGAGGGTGCGGAAAAGGGACTAGGAGCAGGAAACAGTTAATTTTATCCTCCCTAACCTGGGGAAGGTTGGGACCAATTTAGTCTCGATTTTAACCAGCCAATCTAGCATGAACCAGGAATCTAATTGGTGAGCTCCTGGTCTGTAAGCTGAAGCTATATCTATCAGGGCAGCCTTAATTTCTTATAGTTGTCAAATAATACGTTTTTTATTTTCATCAAAACTTCAACTAGAAATGAGATTAAGACGATGCATGCATTTGTAATCCTCGTTTGGGCCTGATACTCACCGGTTAAACATGTCACATTACCAGGGATCTTCTTCCAATAATCACCTGTAGGATTTTTTTCTGTTATCCCATACCGACGTGCTACATTGCCATTGGAGCAACATACCCAGACTGTTCTGGTACTCACAGCTAACTGACTTGCCTGCAAACCTGTGAATTATATGTTAATAAGTTACCATGTGAAACATAAAAGTTGCAAAACTAATGTTTCTAATGTACTCTTACTAAAACAAAAAAGGAGTATCTTCATGAGGAGTAAATCATTCTTTTCTTCTTCCCTCTTGTTGCATTTTTTAAAAAATCACGTATCCCCAGACACTCAACTAACACCTCAAAAGGTAGAATTTAATTCTTCGACCTGTTTAACGATAGTTAAAACATTGACATACACTGATTTAAAACACTCTTACCAGGTACATGTTCCCAGTCAGTGCCAACAGGCATTGCCTCGGTTATTCCAATGCGCACATGGACATTCCCTCTGTTGTCAATGGCCCAAAGCATCTGGTCATTGGGACTGGAATAAATGCTGATCAGCTGTGTTCTTAATGGCTGTAATGATTAAAGCAGATTGTTAACTGTTGCAACATCAAACCGTAAAGCAGTATTTTGACATAACGGGGACAATAGGCTTTGATAATGCCCGAGAGCCAATTTGGATTAGCTCATCTGTAGAAACACCTAGAACTGGTGAGCATTGAGGGACATGAGTGATGCATGTTCTTGGATCAGTTGGCACTGGAGCAGTTTCCAGGCTGGACCAAAGAAACCGTCCCAATTAAGCTTAAAAAAGCTGCTTCTGAACATGCACCTTTCCTCATAACAAATGTCAGTAACACAGCCTGATGAGAATAGAGGAGAAAAGCAAGGATTCCTTATTAAATTATGTTTTAATAGATTTTTTAAATCTATAACTAAGGGGAGTTTTTTGAACAGAAAGTGCATTCTCTAGGTCACCCCCGCCCCACCTTTATCAACCCTCTGCGGGGTAAATATAGTGGAGGAAACGAGAAGATCAAAAGTGTTGCCTGCAATGTGTCAAAAGGGAAAACAGTAGGGTGGTAAATGAGATCAAATAGCCTGAAGTCATATGTATCTTTCTTATGATCGTCTAAAATATACACTTGGATTGTTTGGACGATAATGAAGCCAACAGAAGTTTTCCATTATTAAAAAACAAATACAGTTAATACTAAAAAGGCTGTTCGTAATTGTCAAACCTCAGTATCACAAAAGCTTGCCAATCCTAAACATCCAAATGTGCTTACGACCTGAAAATGGTCCTGTCAGGTTTAAAAAAAAGATCACCGAGAAACGGTGTTTATGGACAGATAAATAGGTTGCCAAATGATCACACAAAATTTTGAAAAGCATGTTAAGTAACATCTCCTTCTTCTGGTTGCTGAATCATGGGTTTGACATGAGAAGTACTTTGCAACATTAAAACAAATTTAGACTAGACAGTAAGGTTCTGAAATGGGTTCACATTTGTCAACTTTCAGAACACAGTGATCAATTCAAGAGATTAGTCACAGCATTTGTTTTGATGATCAAATTGCAACAGATGATTTGTTTTGGTTGCACGTGACCATGACCAGATGTCCTGTTTTTGTTTCATTAATTGAGTTCAGTGTCTTTCGGGGAAGCAAGTGAGGTCTCCTCCGAGCTGAGCAGGCTCCATGGTGACACTGGCATTAAATGTGGGAATTGAGTCAACCCTCTGTCAAGGTGTTCGAGCCAAGTGAATTACCCTACGGCACTGCTACGACAGACCAGGCTAACTGTTTCATTGGCAGGAATCGGAGGGGGGCAGGCAGGCTGTTCAATGAGAGCAGGGATTCTTTGCACTCGGCCTCCTGTTAACCCTGGGAGCCAGCCCTAATGGGTAGGGTGATCCAAACAGGCATGGTGGACAAATATCAAAAAGCTTCCCAGACAATGTTCTCTATGCTGTTTTTGCGGGATACAATTCAGCAGTACCCCCGACCTTGCTCTCACCAACCTGTACCTAATACTCTCCAGAATTAGGTGCATTTCTGCAGAGAGAGCAGAAACAGAAATATCTTCGAATGGGCAGCATATATATGTAGACCTCAGTCTGGTTTGGATGCTCTGAAGCATGGTGATGGGTTACCATATGTGTCAGACATTTGGCCAGTTGACCGAAAGAAAATAGTTTCTTGGTCTTAATCATTTTTCCTGTCAACAAACCCACATTACAATAAAATGAAACAACATGAAGATTGCTTAAAAATAATCAAAATAGTTTTTTTATATCCTAGTTTTGAATGCATTCCCTTAGCCAGGGAATGGTACACAACTATAAAAGGGGATATGAGTAATAATGTAAAACTTCTGTGGTTACAGAAGAAGGCATATTTAACCTGCTGAGCAATGGGCCTGTATGTTGGTGATCTGATTACAACATAGACGTCTGTGTTACAATCAGACGCACAAGACACTAGTAAATGGACATTATGAAGTCACAAGAACAGGGAACTGGTAGAATAGAGCTTCAGTGGTGTGGAATTACAGAGAGAAAGGGAGATGCATACAAGTTCTAAATAAAAGAAATAGAGATTGAATTTCTGAAAGATTAAAGCCTTATGATAAATTGGAAATAGTTCAATTGATGGTTTGTGAGAGATGTTAGCAGCATAATATGTTAAAATAATACATCACAAAGACTGGTGCTTTCATTTATTGTGGTTACAATCAATATCACTGAACATGTTCAGATCCCATTCTACTTAACTCTCGAAAACACTCTGAACAGAAGGTTCAGTGTTATTTATTGGGGAGAATTTGGGAAAATTTGAGAGTAGTAATTTTCGGGTAGTCTCTGGCACCTCCTAGTTACAGAATTAAGTCTCTACCAGTGTCTGAGAACAAGTTGCCCATCTCCCCTCGAGACTACAAATATCAAATCAGGATCATCTCTTTTGAAACAAATCTCCAATATACGCAATACAATAACTGAATAGAACAAACACGTAATGGCCCTGTATGCATAGAAAGGAAGGAAGTCTTGACAATGTCTGTGCGACAACACAAGGAATCTCTTCACTACTAATAGATTGAGTGCCAGACAATTAGTTGAGTACAGAGCAAACATGTATGGTTTATATTAATTGCTTGTGCTCAATTCATATGGTGTATCTTTAATTTAGATACTTTTAAAATCCATTTTGGACATAACTGGAGTACACAAATGCATGGTTAATACAATATTACCACTGTTGCTGTAATTAGATATTTTCCAAATAGCAGGTGAAAATTTTAAAATGAAAAAAATTCTGAATTTTACAGCAACATACAATTAATCATGCGGATCTTTTGTAATATATCAAACTGATAAATAATTTGGAACATAGAACAAAAGTTAAATATCTACTATGGCGATTGCAAGTCACATTTGTGTGTACAGCATGTGGTATCGGCCCACACAAGGTGTGGTTAAGCACAATGTGCTAGATTGATAAAGGATAGCTGGTACCTGCTTCATGCTTTGTGCCAAGTTTTGTTACAGATACAACACAATGCAACAAGATTACATTTGTAATTTGCCGGGAGGACGTCCCAAGGCTCTGAGTACGTGACATTTCGAACTTTGTACGTGATATTTATGCTTACTGAAATGGCTTCATGCTCTGCATGTGGACAGAAACTTCTGCATGATCTAGAGCTAGCACTTTTGTATGACAATGATACTGATCACAAGAGAAACAATGGCACGGATGAGGAGAACTGCGAGTATATTTTGTAATAACGTTTCAACATTGATTCAAAGCAAGTGCTATTAAACGTGGGCAGGGAGGAGGCGAGGAGCTGGGACTCTGGGATGGACTTCCAGAAAACAGGGCAACAGTGCCTGAATGTTCACCCATTAATAGTGTAGTGGATTGGGCATGGGACGTGAAGCAGACTAGTCACAGTTATGGTGAACTGAACGCATTTATAAATGGAGCATCAAATTGCACCAAATTCTGCATCTCCACCCACAGAAAAGTACGTTTTCAAATTACTGACAAAGATTACCTCGAAAACGTAAACATGGATGTAAGCGGCAAGAGTTTGTGAAAATGTCTGGTGTTGCTATTCATAAAATGTGAGCGAAACCTACGTGACCATCATTAATTATTTTGAATACAAATGTTCCTCTTTCAAAGCCTTTTAAATTGGAAAAAAAATTTGGTCTGATCCAACCATGCTGCTCACTTAAACGAACAAACAAACAAGTGAATTCACACATCTGAAATTGTCCACAAATTGTCGTTTTCTCTCAATTCAATGGTGTTTCATAGAATAATCAACAGCATAACTTATTACAGTACAATTGTGTAAGACTTCTATTAAAAGTGATCAGTTTTTCACCAGAAAAAGAAATTCTGTGTTTAAAAAAACTGGTTTAATAAAAATGGCTCAGTTAGTAAAGCTACTTCCTATGAAACTGGAACATACAAGTCAAGAAGGTCACTTGTAAGGAATCTAATCCGTAACCTGATATAGGCTGGGTGCTAGCTTTGGCCTCAGCATATTGGCTAGAGAGGGGAAAACATGTATACTGCTTTGAAAGCATTTCTTCTATACCTCATTCCTCAAGCACTGTTCTCTTATCTTGGATCAGTTCAAAACAAAACACATCTCAAGTGAATACCTGCTCTGGCGGTTCAATGGCTATCCATGCCGGCAGCATCATACTGGGATTGAGTGGTTGTGTCCCCACACGGAAGTAAACAATCCCATCAACATCACAAGCCCATACATGCTGACTTCCGCATGTTAGACTGGCGAGTTTTACATTTCCTGGAGAAAACAGTACAAATAAACTGTTACGTTGCCGTTCTAAATCAGACGTACCCAGTATAGTTAGAAATATAAACTAGTTTATGGAGTGTAGTAACTTGGTTTGTAGTCAATTGAAAGCTATATTTACAATAAAAAATATTTGTCAAATAACAATTTTATAATCTTCAATTTGGTATTATCACATTGTTGAGACATCTCAAAGCGTTTCACAGGAATTAATGTAAAGTGTAGTGACTGAATTTGTAGGTGAACGCATAACTCAATATGGAATAGACCAATATGGAATAGCCTAATTCTACTAAAATGTTATGCTGTGGTTACAATCAGCCAAGCTTCAGAACTACAAGGCTAGCACTGGGTGCACTGTCTTAATCTACGTATAGTAATTCCTGGAGTTCTTTTCCACCATAAGTGATCTCGAATAGGCTCAGCCTGCAATGTTACATCAGTTGCCATCCTGACATTGATGTAGCACCCCAGAATCTAGAGTGAAATTACGCCAAGTTGGATATCCTATTATGGATCCTAAATTAGATAATCATTGACCAGTGGAAATATGATCCTGGAACAAGCGTAAACAAAGATCTTTCAATTTATTCTTTTTCCACCTTATCGTACACTGAGAAATGTGCCTTTGACAAGTTTACAGCGTATAAACATGAAAGACTCATCAGCATAATCTGCTTCATGTAGTGAAGTCAATGATAGAATGGAACTTTAGAAAGTGTAAATAATTACAGAGAAGCCTTTCAGCCTTGAATTTACGGAAGAAAAAGTAACTGTCATACATGGGTGAATAATGATTTAGCTTTAAGTGTGTTTACTCATAAAAACAGGCTGCGATACATTAGGTTACATTAATCGTGTTTTGCAATGGTTTTTAAAGTGTTACAATAATATTTTCATTTTGATTCACTACGTTCCTACAAAAGATATTGTTTGACCTCCTAGACTGGTTCGATTTTAGAAAGCGTTATTTAAATAGATCCAAATCCATTTTGATACATACCGTCAAGCAGTAATCCTTGCTATCATAACAGAATACCGTAAATAACAACATGTTCTTAGCTCTACTGGTAGATTCTTCGTAGTACAGGTCCTAAAATAGGTATCGCTGCACCAGATGGCTTAGCTGGAGCCGCAGTGTACCCAATGCTGTGTATAGAGCTAAATATTTCAAGGTTAACATTCCATCATCAGCACTGTGCGTCAGTGTTGACAATGCTATTCCATCTGCTTAGAGAATATGCTGGGCCTTAGTTTTGCCGACTCTGCAAACATGTGGATTGAACTGATCGGTATAAAAATAATTGTACACTGACAGGTTTAATTTGACATAATCACCAAGTACTTCATTTGTACAGATAGAATGTAGATAAAAGGCTAGCAGTATATTTAGTGACAACCATCATTCAGAACTATTTTGTAATCACATTGGTATAGCTGATGCAGGATGGAACACTTAAATTAGTTCTACAATCAGTCTCAATTAATAAACATTGGGAGATTGTCACACTTCATAATGTAGCTGTCATATCTAAATAGATTTACAAAATATTCATTAATTGTGTTTAAGTCGGCGGTTTAGATATACGGATACATTTAACATGTGTTAAATTTACAGACAGATATTTTAGATCCATTTCAAGAATTTCCAAATGCCTGGACTAATCCAGGAGTAGGGCTTTCACTAAACCAGATTATTGCAACAAACCGACAAAGAAGATTTCAATAGTTATGAAACCTATGAAAAATGCAGAAAATAATCCAACTTTAAATCAAGGATGCAAACAAATAACTGATCAGGTGACTGTATTTTTTTTAAAATACCATGTTACTGCATCAGCATTTATCAAAATGCCACACTGTGTCATATGTTTTAGACATCATTAGGTAAATCACATGATGTTTCAGCTGTTAAAATGTTTTTGATTGTAAACAGTGTCATCAAGCAATGCAGCATAGGGTCAGATAACGCCTACTCTGCATTGCTGTGTTTTTTTTACATTGGAGGCATGTTCTGACATTTAGTAACCTTGCTCGTTAGACGAGCACTAAAAAAGTTCTGACACCTAAATTAGCTTACATGCTCAAGTGGCCATCATTACCTTCACGGCACCTTTTCGGTTTCATTTCTGAATTCCATGTTTTGTATAGAAAGGTCATGGCAAAGTGTCAAGGCAAGTCTTCACTTGACTGATTAGGCCAGCAATTTACAAGTTTAAGAAGGTAATTTTGCTGCCTTTAAATATACGAAGGATACTAACTGAGGCACGTAGCTGATTTAGCTTAGTCTTTCAAGATGAGATTTGGGTTATACAATGGAATCGCTTATGGATCACTTAATAAAAGCTTTAATTGAAAGCTAAGTTCTCAATAAAAGACAGTAAACTGGAAAAACAAACAGGAATCAAATAAAGATAGCGAAAACTGTTCAAGAATAGATGTTCGATATGAATTGGATTTTTCAAACTAATAATTCTACATTTATGTCCATATTTTAGTGTAGTTTGTTGTGAAAGGTGCAATATAACCAGGAGCTAATCTAGAACCAATCATGGTACAACCCTTCTGACATCATCAGAATGATGTGGTTTTGAGGCAATGAAGGACAAAAATTGCACTGGGCTTACTTCCTTGTGATTGATTGGAAAAACAACCCAAAAACTTAACAGAGCAAGCAACAGGTCTTCAATAACTTAAAAAACACTTGATTTCAATTTTCTCAGCATTCATTAATTAGATTGCTAATCCAACAACAAACACAGCATATTCCATGGTTTGCAAAAGTACTGAATTTTTACATTATTGAGCAGGAGACGGGGGAGATTGGCATTTTAAATTGAAAAGAAAACATGTTTTTCCCATTGGTAGTACTATAGTAAGTACAGACCATAAATATTAAAACTATGACAGGTGTGTCCATATCTATTACTACTAAGAAATTATCAGATAACCAAGTTGGGAGTCTTTCCATGTGATGTTATATCATGATCTTGATTTCTAAATAAGCTTAGGAGATAGTAGGTAATATGGTATTTTAGAATGTTGTCCTTTTGCCAATGGGATCTGGGTTTGATTCAAGTTCATATGTTTAGACGGGTCAGTGTGTTGAAGATTACATTGTTTGCTTGTACTTATGGAAGGGGGCAGCCGAAAAAGGAGATAAGTAGGTAGATTTGGGCACTGTGTAAGACTAAAATTTGAAATAATAATTATTCTTGCATTTAATATATAATTATAATATATTAATATATATTAATTATAATATTATCGCATCGGGAAGATGTCTCAAAGCCCTTCACAGGAATTATGGTAAAGTATAGTGATTATGCATATAGAGGCAAACTGAGCAGCCAATTTGCACACAGCAATGACTCACAAACAGCCATGATGTGGATGACCAATTTTATCTGGGGGATTGTCAGCAAGGACACTGGAAGAAACTCCTTTCCCTTTTCAAATACTGCCATGGGATCTTTAACATCCACCTGAACAGGCAGATGTAGGAGGAGCTCTACACAGTTTGTTATCTTTTCCAAATAAAAGTGCAAAGCTTTTTCTAATTAAATTATATTCAATTAAAAGAAACCTTACCAAGCTGAGTGACATCGAGTTTGGTCCAGTGCATGCCACTTGGGCAGCTTTCTGACAATGTCCGTATATGGATCTGCCCCTTAGAGTCCAGACCCCAGATTGCATCGGGGCAGGCAGAGATCAGGACCATTTCTAAATCAGGAGGCAACTGAACCGTAGAAGGTCGAAACTCAGAATTTTGATCATTGATACAGAAGAGGTCTTTATTGCTTTGTCCCAGCCATAGAAAACTTCCTGTGGAATATATCATATTACATGAGCCATTATTACTGCAGCATTATCTACAGGTACAGAGAAAAAGCAATTAGACAATTAATAATTTAGACTGGCAGCTGTAACAGATGGATTTGTCAGTAATAAAGGGAGAGGTATGAACTAATTATCAGTTTATTCTTTGTTCTACTGTGCAAAATGATCACCATTTGGTCTACCATTTTAAAAATGGTAAAAGTTTAAAACGTAATACAGTGCAGCCTTGTTGTTACATAGTGCTCAGTATCCATAAAATCCCAACTAGCATTACAGTGAGGTGCAAATGTCATCTTAACTGCACCGTTCTTGTGCTAAAAGAATACATAATGGGGGAAGTGACATCGCAGTGACCTGAAAACAAAAGGCAGACTTCCGTGTCGACAGCAGGCACACTAAATGGGCTGACTGCATGAATGTGCAATGAACAAGGTTTACAGGACAACCAAGTTATCAGGATCTCACTACACTTGAATTTTTATGGACAATGGCCAAAGGTCCAGATGAGAACAACATCTGGGAGTTTCTCCAGCCAGCGCAAGTGCTGTCAAACTTTGCCGTTGGGATTCTGCTGTAGGATCTAAACAGAATGTTAAAATCCAGCTGCAGAACATTGTGCTCTTAGCAAATATTTGAAGTATGAATCATCTCCTCGCAATTAAGAACAATAAAACAGAATAACAAAGTATTATGTGAACAATTTTGTGTTCCTTATTGTAAATTTGGAAAAGGTTCACAAATCTACTAGAACTTTGTAAGGAGGTATTGAATTTAATAAGACGATTCTGCATGTAGATTTGGGTGCACTCTCCACTAAAGGATATTGGGAATGGAAATTTGACTCTAAGATATGAAGACGGCTCAGAGAACTAAACTGCTTTTAACTGAAGAAATGAAAATCGATAGGAAAGATGATCCAAGTCTTCTACAAAGATGCAGTTTACACAAGTGTTAGTACGTCACCTAACTTTTGACGAAAATTGCAGAGAATTCAAAAATTCAACACTTAACCACACATGCATAAATACACAGAAATACTCACATAAGTTGTATCAGTCAGGACCATAACATTTATTATGACTTACACAAAGTCGTATAAAATCTGATTTAATCAACAATCGACGTTACACCGGAATCACATGTTATGAAGTTCTTCTGCCTATGCATTGACAGATCAAGATTACATTCCTCACAATTTAATGCAGCCGGTAAATGCAGGAGCATTGGAGGACAGGGGAGCAACAGTACGAGTTAGGAGATGATTAATACAACTAGTGCAAAGAAAGCTAAGTGGTAAAAAAAAGGAAACTGAATAGGACTCGGGTACATGTATGACTTGGGTGATTATATGATTTTTTAAAGAGAAGACTTATGCGAGTTTTACTGTGTCAAAAAATCTGTGGAGTTTAAAGTTTCAAAGGTGAATATAAGCAAACCATTTATTCATAGGTTGTGAAAGTTCCTTACCTTTTTTAGTAGGAGCAACAGAAGCCATTACGAAAGCCCATTTTGCAGCCGATACTGTTCCTCGAGGCACAACTGTCTTCCAATATGTCCCTATGAAAGTCAAATTAGACTTTTTCTTAAATGTCAAATTCAGTTTGCATTTGTAATTCTAAGCAAAATGTGATCTCCTACATGATTACATGGCCTGTGGCTGTGATGTATTCAAGGACCTCTAAAACCCTGCAGATATTCAGATGATTTCCGCTAGTCAAATTAAAATCCTTTTCCTTCAGTGTTCAGAGTAAAGCAATTTACAGAGGCGGAACATTTTATTCTAAGTTAAAGTCACAGTGATCAAATTTCCAATGTATTTTAATTTGAACACAAACGAAGAGTGAGTGAATATTCTGATGGCAACAACGAGTTCTGTGAAGCGCTTTGAGACATTTCTATGATGTGATGACGCTCTATCAAAAGCAAAAAATACTATTATTATAGCCTTACGATTTATTCACCCAAATGATTTAAGACGTTGGAACTCTGGTCCATCAAAACTAGCACCACTAGCTATACAAAGAAATGAAGTAATCAAAAGATATATAAAAAAATCACAACCGAACTGGTTGTTGGTAAATCTGCCAAAGAACATTTTTGTCAATCACAGTAAACAGAAAGTTATTAACACTAATTTTCACATCAAAATCAAGCATATACATGTAAAGATAGACATAAAACTGACCAACCTATTAGATTGCCCTTTGCCACGTGAAATTCATTTTTCCCCGATGTGATCCACACCCCACTGCTGTTGACATTGAGGAGACTTGGGTGAGACGGAGGCTGTTGTGACCAGAATGCTCCCCGCAGTTTGTCTGCCACTCTTTCCACTGGAGCTTGAGCAACACTTGCTACAGTCTGTGTGGCGTGGATTATCGTCTGGAAGATGCTGCACTGATCGAAGACGACATAATCCGTAATGCTCACCTTAGGATAGAAATAGGTGTTTTTCTTTGAAAAAACATACAATTTCCACATTCACTTTCAAATTGCATATGTTACAGTTTGGGAAAACTAAGTTGATTTTCACATGAAGAATATCTCTGAAAGAGTATCACAATCAAAATCAAGCATTAGGAATTAGCAACACTGAATTGTTATTCTGCCAGATTTCCTTTTACATTTTGGTGTAAACAAGTTTTCTCATCTTTTGAAAAATGTTTCTAATCTTGATGCTGAATTGCAACACGGTTCGAAACCATGGACTGAATAGAATTATTGATTGGCCTGGGGTAGATAAAAGGTTACAAATGAAATGTGCTCCAGCAGCACTAATCTATCCTTCAGAGGAATTCATACAAGCGAGATTGCTGGATGGAAATATAATGGAAATTTAGAAATGCTATTACCATTAACCATTACGGTCCAGTCCATGTAGCTGTGACTCAGCTAATTTCCTAATAGAGCAAAAGGAGGGGGGTTTAAATTCACAAAACAAACCTTTAGTGTTAAGCAGCACACCATGGAACAAGAGATAAGATTGGGGGAAACCCTCCCACAAAATTGAGGATTAGCACCTGTTCACAGAGACAAGTTTGAGAGCAAGCTCCCATCTTCCCTCTCAGCAGCACAGATGTCAATGTCAGATAGGACTACAAAAGGAGGATTAATTAAATTGCAACAGTAAATAAGAGGTCATTCATAAAGTGTTTGCTAAAATCCCAATTCTCTCTCGCCTCAATCCTCTGAAAGATAATTTTGATCTGCTCCTCCCCCCCGCCCACCACCAAAAAAAAATTGGCCTTCAGATACAAGAACACAAGTGTGTTCCAAAGAAAGCACCCGCCCCCCCACCATATATCTTTTCAACCTCACAGTCACGCACACTATGGCTCCTAAATTCAGTGACGTAGCTATAATGGCAATGGAAAGTTCAGAAGGTACACGGCTTTTATCCGAATTCTAACATTCATACTGTAATTTGCTGTGTGAAATCCTGATTATAAATACCCTGTTTATTTTTCCTAACCTATACAATATAGAAACATTTCTAGGTACTTGGTCAATGAATGCTAGTGCGGTTCTTACAAGCAAACAGAAGGATAATCCATCATCTAACACAATATTTTCTTCAATTTATCGAATACCAAAAAAACAGCAATTTTTAAAATCATACAAAGGATGATTATCAATTATGGAAGTGTTCCTTAAAGAACTATAGATAATCTTTTAAACAGCAACATTGCGGTTTAAAATATTTCTTATGAAGGAGAATTACAATTGGATTTGGGGGAATTCTAATTCGGGAAAAAAAATCACATTTCCGAGGGAAAAAAAAATCAATCTTTGACTTTTAATCATGGTTAATCACAATGGGAATTTTTTTACAACATATGAACAAAGTACTCCAGATGCAGGGGTTGCCATGGGAGGGAGTATCCTCTCAAAAGACTATGTTTTTGCTTTGTACTGAAAGTAGTCCCACCAAACTTGTCCTCTTCTTTCTTCACCTCTTCCTTACAATATGAGTTGACAATTATCTCGCTAAATTCAATAACATCTAAACAACAATTTCTAGTTTTCAACCACCATAGTTACAATCTTGGTTTATGCTCATAAACAGATTGGACAGGCTGGTAAGCTGCAGTACCAGATCGTTTAGTTTGAATTGGAGTTAAAAATCGCAATCTGAACTGACACTCACACACATAACTTTCCTTTAAGGGCACATTTATTGGTCCTCCAACAAGTCATTGTTTTGCCATCAGCTTTCCAAACATTATGTCTCTATACAAGAACAGTGGGTTTAAAAAATCCATCCATCCTAACATTGAAAATCACACCTTAGCCTTCCACAAATAGTAATTACCTGGGAAGGAGAGAAACATTTAAGTTGTTTGTGCTCCAGTTTATAGCTACGTATAACCTCTTGCCTAAATTAAAGACAACTGCCTCCCTATTTGTTCTACTGTAAAATTATATTTAACGTCGATAGAATCAAATGTTTTCTATTGCCAAAACCAGTCACACTTATTTTGTAATACACACAATTAACTTTAAGATTAAAGAAAACATAAGTTGAAACACTCTTTCAGATCACAATTATTTAAAATGCATTTTGTATTTACTTTACTTATCTCATAATGACTGGATATTTTGTATCCATCCAGAAGTGTCTGGGCCAGAAAATGTTAGTTCTAGGCACATACATAGCAGTTCTTAACCAGTATTAAATTCCTTGGGTGCTACTGTGTCAGCCTCCAGGCCTGTTCAAAGCACTAACTTCCATCTAATTAAATATAGCTATTCTTGAAGCACGTAGGCTGTCTCTTAAGATAACTCATTGAATAAACTCCGGATGGGGGGCTGCCATGGGAGGGGAACATCCTCTCAAAAGGTTGGAGACTATGTTTTTTGCTTCGAACTGAAAGTAGTCCCACCAAACTTGTCCTCTTCCTTTCTCCTTTTCGTAAGAATCTGCGAGGCTGCCTGCCTGAAGGTGCTATACAAATGCAAGTTGTTGTTGCTTCTAGATGTCCAGATGAGAATGATTAGGAAATATTATTGACTCAGAGTGTGTGTATATGCTGTTGATACTTAACAGCACGTTTTCAATTTACCAGCTAAATCAAGTAAGAGTTTAATAGTATTGCATGAAATTTTCGTTTTAGGGTCAATATTAAATTCCTAAATATAAAATCAGCATTTTTAATAAATCACAATGGAACTTAAAGTGTTCAGTTTTATCATCATTTTGACATTGATCAAATGAAACAATAGAAAACTCTTCAATGCATTTTCCATTTGACTCAGTCCTTACCTGCCACCAGTGATCATCTTCACCTTGAGGTTTATTTGGGGTGACACCACTCCTGAACCAGAGATTGCCATTTGTGTCTAAAGCCCAGGATGTCTGCTGATCTCCCAGTGCTATACATACTGGTTCCAGCATCTGCCTTTCACTTTAAAACAAAAAGGTTTATGTAAGAACAAATACCACATTTCCCTGAATACTATTCTGGCACAGAATTTGTTAGTTCAGAAACTGCATCTATCTGAATCCTTTAAAATCATTTTAAAGTATTGTGGCATCATGAAGATGATGACAGACTAGCTTATCCATCAATGAAACATACAATTCAGGGATGTTCTTTTGATCGGCACTATAATCCTTCAATGTTATAAATGGAGGTTTACGCATATCTTTTGGTATTATTCAGATACACTTTACCATGTTGAACTGCTGGTTAGAGGCAGTTGAAGAGTATTTTTTATATGGTTCTCCCTCTTAGTTGGCTGCACAATGTTCTACACGAGAAGCACCATGAATAGAAAATGCTGTTCACAAGCAACCGTTCTTATTCATGATGTTACACTTGAGAGTAGAATCTGATGTTGCATAGAATGTGGTAATCTTAATGGACAAAACTAACTCAACAAGTTAGTGAGCAACAAATGAGACATCGGTGGCATCAGACATATTCATTTAGAATCACAGGACTGTTCATTGGAACACATTTCCTCTTTAAATATCACAATTCTTTCAGTTTTAGTGTTTCGGGGGAGATTTTGAATGTTCAGTGAGGAATCTACAGTGAATACTGGAATGGAAAATTTCATTTGTGAGAAACTCCCCAGTGATCTAACATTCTTCCTCATGAGTAGAATTCCTCATTGAGTATTCTGTTTTAAATAAAGTATAACAATTTTTAATGAAGACAAAAGGTACCAGAGGGGTTTTAATACATTTCAACTCGTCACATGAGCTCCTTTCTCTATGATGGAGTGGCATCTGCTTGAAATATGCATGTGCTTTAATGGGAATTAATAATAAAAATCACAGGATTGTGATAGCTCAAAACCAGTTGTTTTCAGTGTTAACAAACATAGCTTGTAATGCATTTTACATCCATAGCATGTGATTAAAACAATCAATGGAAAATTCCTTGATGCTCCAAATGTTAAACAAGATTGTAAATTGTTCCAGTATTGGCATGAAACCTCACAAGCTGCTGGCTGGAGACAAATTCCTCATTTTAATTCTTTACAGAGATGACAATTTAAAAATATATATATTTACAGTGTCAGTCAAGGAGGTAGAAATTCGGACGAGCACCAAGGCAAATTAACCTCTGACCTGCTTATCGTGCATGTCTACCACCTGCTCAAATGTAGTCCAAGTGTGAGGAGAACACAGGATGTGATGATAGAAGTATTTTTCCTTTTTGGTTGATCATGGAATTACAAAAATCACTCTTTTTCCAAGGAAATAATAATAATAATAATAATCCTTGCATTTGATATAGTGCTTTTCACGTCGGGAGGACGTCCCAAAGCGCTTCACAGAACACACTGTAAAGTGAATTGACTGTATATTTGTGGGCGAACGCGGCAGCCAATTGCGCACAGCAATGTCCCACAAACAGTCGTAGATTAAAAATGACCAATTAATTATTGTTTTTGGTTTTGGAGGGATTATTATTAGGTGTGTGGAGTAAGGAAACTTGCCCAAGGTTTCGCCCTCTGCCTGGAATTGAACTCAGGTCTCTCACTTGCAAAGCAAGTGCTCTAACCACTGAGCTACAGGACCCCACCAATCACAAATATAACAAGATGTCATCAATTTTTTTAAGCAAGACTTAATTCAATATAGCTAGTGAGTTCCCCTGATGGCTCAGTGGATAAATGCACCATCACATTACTGAGCCATAAAAAAACTTATCTTGCGCTAAATTAGTTCATTCGAGGCACTTAGTGCCTTGGCATCTACTTTAAGGATGGTCACTTCAGCAAGGTACTGAATGTCTCAAGCACCAATGAAACTAGGTCCCAGGATTGCCTGCATCTTCAGGAGATAGATTTTTTTAGGGGGGAGGGGGTGGGGTGGGGGTTTGAAATAAAAGGAGCAACAAGAAATACCAAATGATTGGAAAAAAAGGTGATTACGAGTAATTCATATCAGAAAACAAGTTATATTACTCCACAGCTGGATCTCTTGAGTAATTCCCAATAAGTGCATTTAAAAAGGTGGACACCAAATCACAGAAATGGGACAGAATGGATTTAAATATTTAAAAAAAAACACATGAAACATAATCTAAAACAGTATTTGACACTGACAAATAAATGCGCCCACCTTACAATATCACACAGCCATTGCTCCCCCTCTGGACAAAGGCTGCTTATGCCATGTCTGAAGAGAACCGTTCTCTGCTCAGTCAGTGCCCACACCACATTATCCCTTGAAGTAATTTGCACGAGTGGGTATGAGCAATCCACCTTCACTGCTCTGGCACAAGGACGATCTGCACTGAGGCCTAAAGACAATGAGAGAATGAAACTCTTTACAGCAGATTAATTATATCAGAATGTGGATGTGCTTCTCTTCTCCAACCCATCCAACACATCGGCCTACAGGTAAAAATTCCAGTGTCCTGACCCCTCCTGCACCTCACATAAGCAGCGTTCATCTGCGAACCAAGAGTAAGTTTCAGCAGGCTATACAGCCAAGTTGCAGGAGGGGGAATGGAGGTGGTCGTGCATTTTCAAGCAGAAACCATTGGATTGTGTTTTGCAAACCCTAACTCAGAGATGCTGATCACAATTATAGCTCTTGCATTTTTCAGCCAAGATCAGTAAACAGCACAAACAAGGACTGAAACTTGGGACTCACCTATTCTTCAGAGCTCAGCCGCACACTGGGCAAAGTCTGCATCTACAAAGCCACTAAGGTAAATAACCATCTTTATCCTGCTATTTGCATTCAAAATGCTACTTAAGTAAAATGTGTTCAAATAAAAACAAAAGCCTTGTACAAGCCTCAATTAGTCATTACAATAGGTTCCTAGGGCAGTTAATATATTACTCATATAAATAAATGGGCGAGATTAAATATCGCTCAATATACAAAATATCAATATGCAAAAACAGTAAGTGACAGTGAGGATTTATGCACTAATTTTACCTTGATGTTGATAAACCTTGAGCCTAAAAACGGTTTATGATTGAATTACTGGTAAATCCGTGTCAGTTATCCATTTTTTTCTATATCTACAAAGGGATGGCCTGGTGATTCCAAATGACATTATAGGTGCATGAGGTTAAAACAGCTTAAACTTGCCTTTGAAAATTACTTAATAGAAACAATTTTGGTCTGACATAAAGTAGAAACTGTGAATCAGGCCCAGTTAACCCGTAAATCTTAAATATCATACAGACTTTAATTACAATTAAAATGGACAAGCAGAAATAAGCATTTTAAATGTATTTTATAAGTAAAAATGTATTTCCCAAAAGTGTGTAGCTTTATAATTCAGTAATATTCGACTATTAACTATATTAATATTGAAACAGTATTATTTCCAGTGTTATAGTTGGTGTCAGAATACTGACAAGCCGGGGCAGCTGGTATATTGTCTAAGGGTCAAATTCTGTTAAAAAAAACAGAATATACAGATTCAAAAAGATAGTATGGAATAATAAGGTTGATAAGTTTTCCCTGATTAGAAAAAAAATCATTCTATTGAAAGATGAAACAGGGTTTGTAACTAGTTCTCCTTGAACAATGCCCAGACTTCAGTGAGATACAGAGCGACAGTAAAGAGTGAAAAACAAGTTTGTAGGAACAGTCAAGTCTTGCAGAAATGCACAATTAGTTATCTGATCAAAGAAGCGACAGCAGACACAGAAGGGTCTGTAGGCAAGACAAGCTTTCATTCCTGCTTGTTGAAAAAAGTAGCAGGTGGAGAGCGAACAAGAGCAAATCTCTCGCAAAATGCAGGGAAGAAAATATTGAAATCAAAAATGAACATCAACAATTTCCTTCTCAAAATCCTAGTTTAATTTGCCAATTGGCAAAACAAAGCTCCAGCTGTTTAAACTTTAAAAGGGGTAACTTCTTTCTCTTGAAATAATGTGCAGCACATGCTCAGCATGTCCAGTCCTGTCTGTCTCTCTCTCTCTCTCTAGACCAGGCAATAGTGACTGACATTATTGTAAACCTATCACATCTCAGTCTGTACTACATGTTGCCTAGGAAATGGGGCCAGAATAAGGAGGGTGGGACCATGAAATTGCAATTTATCCTGCCCCTATTGAAAGATGTCCCAGTGGAGAAGCGAGAGAAATACTCTGTTTTTAATTAAAGGAGAAACATAAGTCTACTAGATTGTCCTGTAATTGGAAATGTTTTAAAGGGAGCCTCTGTACATGTTCCTGTGGCTCTCAGTCACCACTTTTACCCTGTTTTATGTTTCAGAACTGTGGAGGCTTTTATACAGTCCACCCATCCCCCATTATTACACCATAAAGTTTCATTCCAGTGACAAAAGGATCAGTGCATTGTGGGTTTCACTGCCTAAAGCCTGATGTCACCGCAGGGGTGCAGCGTAAAATGCCCATCCCCAGGCTGTCCTAAGCTTAGGATACAAAATAAAGTATTGAGAAATGACTAGACAGAGACAGAGAAGTGCAGATATCTCCTTTTATAATTATAAAAATGAATCTAGGGTACATGAACACACTTCGCTTTTTGACTTATAAATATATACTTCAGAGGCACAACTTGACAGGCTAAAGGAAATTGCTGTTAACAATACCACATTATTGCTGTTCAATCTTGTTCTCTTAAAATATATTGATTTAGCAGTAGGTCAGCAGTTTAATAATCCCACCACCTATAATTTGAGAGGAAGGGTACATTAAATGTTTACAAAATAAACCAAATGGGGACCTGGTAATTCAGTGGGACAGATCTTTATCTGCTGGAACCAGGTTGGAACCCAAATTGGATCGATAGGAGGAAACTCTTCTTTCTATTGGCTGTTTATAAGGGTACTATGTACACGAGTCTGAACCCAACAACTAATAACAGTTATATAGCCCCATTCATGTAGAGTAACATCTTTAAATACTTTACACAGGGAGGGAGTTCCAAAGGTAAAGTATTATTCAGAAAAAGTCAATAAACGTCAGCTACTGGACAGAGTTTTGAATAACTGTTCTGTGAACCCCAAAAGGTAATGAAACAAAAAAACTCCTAAATATTCATTTATTCATCTCTACTATATTTTGTAAATATTCATTTATCCATCTCTTCTATATTTTGTGCAGTCTCTGTGCATGTGCAATACTAAAGAATGTTGCAAAAAGTAAAGGTTTTTTGGGGGGATGGGGGGGAAGCAGAAGGAAAAGTGCAAATCCAATGCTGAATTTAACAAAACCAATCTGGATATAATTTAACCTTATTTTAGTTAATCTGGAATCTGACATTTTTATCCGTGTATCACATATTCCAATTTTCAGCAAACACCTTATCTTAGCACTATAAAAATAAAACATGAATTTAACTAATTTCCTTCAATAAAATGCCACTCTTGAAATGCGTGTAAGTAACAAAAAGTGAAAATTTTACAAGATGCTTTTCTCTTTCCCTGGTTTTCTTCATAAACCAATGTTGAATTCCCTCACTATCCAACTAAAATGTTTACGCATTTTAAATACAATTTTATTTGATTTTAATGACTGTGATGGTTTACCATATTCACATTTGAGCGCAACCGAATTTCAGGTTAAAGAATCATTTTATTTTGTTTACTTTTTAAAATAAAACACCCAAATTAGCACCGATTACTTCAGCAAAGTATAGTACATTACAATAAAGATGTTCCTCAAATACCTGTTTGCAAATATAATTCTCCATTGGTTTGGATGATCCAAGCGGTGTCATCACTCAAGGCAACATACACAGCCTGTGGTAAAGCTTCATACCAATGTCTCTTTCCCTTCATTGTCACTTTGCCACAAGCAAATGCTTTGCTTGATTTTTGATCAATCTTCCATAACAATATGCCTGTGGATTGAAAAGCAAAAAAAAACTTCCAGGGCTGGTTCCATTACAAATCATAATTGGAACAGGTTTTAAAAGTTTCACTCTGAAATATTCCTGGTTTCCAAATAAGGAACAAAGACAAAATGTCGTCAATGTTATTTTCACTCACTGGAGGGCACTTCCAAGATCTGCACCAACCCACGTTATGTTTTACCAAATGGTTGATCAATGAGAATATGACAAAAAGCTAAACAACTGAATTTATTGAACATTAAAAATATAGTAAAATGAGCCAAACAAAGAGAGCTAATAGGAGTGGATTAAACTACGGAATGAATTAGTGGGACACAGTGAACCTCAATGGACATTGAAGTTTGCGCACTGACCTGATGGGGATACTGACACCTGCTGGACATAATCTTCAAACTTCTGCCACCGCAGACTTCCACTGTGAACAGGGCTGCAATATAGGACGCCCTTGTAATCTAAACACCAGATATGCTTTTCAGAGACAACCAGGCTGAGGATACCGCACCCAGGGCCAGAATAACCCATCCAGCTCTCAGAAAACTGCTAAAACAAAGTAAACAGAAGCAAGTTCATGAAGTTCGTAACCCCTCGTTCTTAGAGTTTAAGAGAATTCTTATCAGCCAAGTTTCCATCACTCAACATGTATGTCACATTCAGCAATAGATCATTTTGTTATTGGACAGCAATACACTGCAGTGGAGAAATGTAATTAGCTGACTAATGTGAGCGAAGACCAAAACAATAATTGAAAAGTAATTGAATAAGGATTCAAAGAAGAAAGGGACTTTGAGCTCATACTCAAGGCCTACAGAGTGCAGTGGAGGACTACATTGTCAGAGATGCCATCCTTTAAACCTATTAAACCTTACTCGCATCTGCCTGGTATATCACTATAACACTATTTGCCTATGAATCCACAGTCACTGCACTTCACAGAAAAAGTCTGAAGTGATAAAATTCTATATTAAATGCAAGTATTTTTAAAAAATTGTACAGCGAAAAAGCAAGGATTTCAGCTAGCACTGAAAAAAAGGCTCAATGAACTAACTTGCTGTCTTCTGAGCTGTGATTTCTACCAACAACAGGATCTTTAACATCTCCTGAGCGAACAGACAGGAACCTATATCATCCGAAGAACGGAAACTCCAGCAATGCAGCGTACCACCAGCACTGAATTGGCGGGTCAATCTAGATTACATGAGTTCATTGTCCGAAAGTGGGGTTTGAACCTACGTTCTTCAGACTCAAGAGGCAAGGATGCTACCAACTAAGCCAAGCTGCTATATCTGCAAGCTAATGAAAAATTATCTGTTTTATTATAGAAAAAAGTATAAATCACCAGAATGAAAAATTGAGATCAAGAATCGATCACGAGATGCTCACACTGAAACAGCTTACCATCGCTGTCATGTTTAATATCGTCAGAACCGCTCAATTCAGTTAGTCTAATAGCTCACTGCCAATTATAAATTAACTCAGTTTCATAAAAGATTTAATCGCAGATTTGAAGCGCAGATTTAATGATCATGAAAAATTAATAAAAATTACATTGTAAAGAATTAAATCTCACCAATAGTTGCTTATTTCAAACAGTGACCGTTTTGTGGTTTACCTGATCAGATTTTAAATGCTCTAATTCTTCTTGGCCAGGCTTTGCCATATCTGGAAAAACTGTACCTAGACTTTCTTCAGCACAATAACTGCGATGGAGTTCTGTCACGCTGGTTTCAGATGATGACTGCGGCTGTCCATGGCCATAAATATCTTCATCATCACTTGATGAAGACAACTGGGCTTGGGTGTGTTTTTTCTCAGTTTCCTCATCAGCATTATAGACAAATGTCTCTGTGTCGTCTTCAGTTTTAGTCACAACTAATGAATGATGTTCATCATCGTCAATGTGGAGTTGTGAAAATGCTTTGCTTTGGTTATTTGGAATTTTATCTGGTGAGAGAATTCTCATTAACAGAGTGTGTCGCTCATCCAAGTAACACTCAGAGCTCTCACTCAAAGTTTCCTGCACATTGTCACGATCACAAACAAATAACATAAGATGTCCCGGATCGTCAGGCTTTACTCTGGGAGAATGACAGTTAGTAGTTGTGTTGACCACATTATTATCTAAGCTGTCCTGTAAGCAAGATGTTGATCCATAACTCTTCTCATTTGCTTCTGCCACTTCTCCATCAGGGACATTATGTAACAATGGATCCTCGTCCCTGCGATCTTCGATTTTGTCACTGTAACTGCCCAAAATTTCTGATTTATTGGATGATTCAAAACCAGAAAAGTTTGCAAAATTCATATTTGAGCAAGAAGATCCTTCATTTGTTAAACTGGCGTTCACTGAAGATTTTAATGAAAAGTCTTCTAAGAACAGGGGTTCTTCCAGTAATGTCGGAAAAGATTCCGGACCCACCACGATGTCAGAAATGTTGTAATTGTTTTCTTCCTGCAAAATATTGTTCAGGTCTGCACTAACCTGGCTCTCCTGGTCAGGAGAATCTGTGGTCAAACGATCCAGGCTGCTACTTAAGCTTATCTGGTCAGAGAAGTCACAGGTTGTGGTAAGGGAGCCATCAATAACAAAGTCACTTAAATATGTTGCCTCTGAACTTTGGGATTCATTGAAACAATTCATTTCAGATTTTACGACACTGGATTCTGATGTAGAATTTGCTGTACAACACAGAATACACAAATTCATAAAAAAAACTGACTTGGGATACAGATATTAAACTATTACCAAATTATTAGAAAATTTATCACCAAACTTATTGCACCATATTTATATACTTGTGCTATGCTGTGAACAAATATTAGATCATTAAAAAGTAATCAGAAAAGTTAATCCTCGAGATATAAAGGGACCATTACAGACCTAGAACTCTGCCTTGCACTTTTAAAAATAAAGTTCCCAGGACAATATAAAAAGGTATGGAAACGGCGCAGGGATTGGGATTACAATCATTTGACATTAAAGTACATTAATTATGTTTATTAATCAAGGAGAGTATTGTGGAAAGACTCTTTCTGCCAAAATAGAGTAGGTAGTAGCTTCAACCTCAAATATTTAACACAAACTTTTGATTGTTTAAAAGATATTTATCTATTTGAATGACAACCACTAACCGCTCCAGAACAATCAATGACCCATGGTGAATCATCTTTTTCCTACAACCCAGTGGTTTATTGTGAAGACAAATAATACTTGTGCTATATTATTACCTTACTGAAATTATTTTTTTAAAAAGGCTGCAAAAAATACCTTGCTTTCGTTTTTTCTTCTTTTTTAAAGAAATGACAATGAGTTGTTGGTCGAATTCTTCCATACTGATTGATCTAAACCTTTCTGAAGAGCCTGGGGTCTTGGTTGATGTTGCAGAGGGAAATCCTTCTACGTGCTGTTCTGGTGTAGTTATGTGACTAAAAGTACTAACGTTACTGTTTACAGAGCTGCTTCTGCTTCTTGGCTCACTTGTCAATGAACAACATCGTTCTCCTGTCTCATCTCCCATTTCGCTTTCAAGGTCATATCTGGTACTCAGAATTTGGAATTGGTCGGGGTCTGGAGATGGTGCAGATAATGAACGTTGCAGTTTGGAAGCATCAAATATTGAAGCGCTGTTTTCATGTTGCATTTCTTGTACTGAAATTTCTGTTTGTTGAATTGCATGAAGCGATTCAGCAGAGGCTAATGTAGTCTTCATCGAAGTATATAGGGGACTTAACTGTGAATTTACCCCTAAAACAGGCAGATAAAAGACTTACTGTTATGAACGTAACAGATGCTGCTATACAGTTTAATTATAAACAAAGAACAGCCGTCTCACTCGTCTTAAAGTTACTAAAAGAAACAGTACCAAAGATTTTAGTGTACTGTGATATGATTTAGAAGCTGCATAAAACATTCGGGTATATAGGATAGCCTATATACCAGATGTAATTGAAAACTAAATTATAAAAACTTTTGACTTGTGGCTTTCCTCGACAGCTTAGTTGATAAAAGCATTAACAGTGTGATACTGAATCATAGGAAGGTCTCAGATTGGCCATTTAGCCAGTGTACCAGGAAATCCTCCACAGCAGTTAACCTCAAGTCAAATTTGTGGCTTGCAAATTTCACCTCGTCAAAGTTTTACTGGAACTGCCAACACCCACCGTCCCCCTCCCCCCCACCACCCACTAGGGAAAAGCCCTTGAACAAATCTCCAATGGAAATTTGTAGATATTCAGACATGTACCCTTTCCATCAGAAATACACTGAACAATCAGGAGGGGAATATCTGGCTGACTTTCCTTTCTCTAACCTAGAGCCAGTTGCAGTTCCCCATTGATACCTCAAGATGAGATCATCTAACCAAGGACAAAACATTGATCAAACCTGGGATATTCTTGCTCTGAATGACCCAACCCCACACCATGGTGGTGCATTTAACCACATCATTAAATTAAACAATGATGCGTTACAATACCAGGCATGCCTCTTGCCATCCAACCTTCTGGCCTGTTGGAAATTCGAATTATATCACGGTCACCGGTCAATACAAAAATCTCATCTTCCGTACAGGAAACGGACACAATAGCACTGGATCCTTCCAAACCACCTATCAAAGCCTGCAAATGTCACAAATTAACAAGTGTTAAGATTCTATTAGCCTATTGTCACCAACCCTCAGGGATGTGTAAAAAAATTGATAACAGCGCGATCGAAACATTGCTGGCTAAACTTGCTTTGCGTACCTGGTTGACTGAATCCACAACATAAATACTCTCCTCATTCCAGCTTAGCAACCACCCATCGTGTAAGAAGGACTTCAATATCCCAAGGTTTCTGTTCGTTGGTTTTATAATAACGTTGCTCCCAGTGGGTGAACTTAGTCGAGGAAACAGTTCAAATGGCTTCACTCCATTAGCAAATACATCTTTTAATATAAGGGTTGACTGGACAGTTCCTTGTATATCTGATTTCCACAGGCGAAGCCCAGGTCTTGAAGAATACAAAGTCAGAGCACTCTGTTTACAGAGGCCTGGCAGGAAACAAGCTCCAAATCTACCAGCACTAGAGATAGGGAAATCAAAAATATTTTTTTCCATGAGCAGAAGTAAATCATTGTAAAACTTAATCTTTAAATAGAATTCAATTTTATCCCATTAGTAAGGAGAAGGCAATGTTTTGTAGCTTTCCAACTATCCCTTGACCAGACCAGAGATTTTTCAGAGTCATGTAGAACAACAATATATATCTGCATTGAACTATTAGATGACAATCCCATCACATTTTCAGTAAGCAATTTTGGCCTTTATGATCCAGACATTGCCACCAACACACAGATATTCTGGGTTTTGATAGTTCTCACGCTTCATACTTTTCTTTACACTCAATGTGTTTAGACATTATGAACCATGTTTGACGACAATACAATTTTGGTTGGTGAGTTTACCTTTTTCTTGGCTGTGTTCCAACCTGGTTAATAATATTTTGCTCGGTGTAAATCAGGAGAGAACGATGGTAAGTTGAAACCAGCAGAACTTTTTGATTGTAATCCAACTGTACAATGGGAGTGGAGTCTTCTAATATTACAGTAGAATTGCAAGCACCCTGTAAGAAAAAGTGCAGAGAGTTAAAAAGGATGCACACAGCATCAAATAGATCTCAAACAATTAATAGAACGTTTTCCCTTGAAGTGAAATAAAATTTTCTTTGAGACAAAGGACTGCAAAATGATTGTTAAAACACTGTCCAGTAGGGTAGATAATCCTTTACGAGTTCTAACTTGATCAATTCATTCTTATGTTTATTTTTCACAATAACACCAATTTTCAAACCACAGAATCATGAGCATAAAATTAGCATAACACTCCAGAAAATGTTTTATTCAGTTCTGTATTAAAACTGTTCTATATAGATTAGTATCATTGTTTCTTTAAAGATGCTTACTCCCCATTAAATGAACAAGACACTCAAGATAAAAATCCAGATTCAATTGGTATAGACCTATTTCTAGAGGTCTTTTATGATTTTTTCGAGCAGTTGCACTCAACATAATTATACACAACCTGCAATGTTATAGCTACAACGACTTCTGAACACTCTCAAAGCACATTACCTGGTCCAAGTCCACATTAATGTAGGCCACTTTGCCCTGGTCATCCCCAGAGAAAAGTTTCATTCCGTTGGTACTCCATGTTAGTGTTGTAATGGTATTTTTATGAACTCCCACAATATCAAAGCGACGCAACTGTGAAGCAAGAATTGCACACAATCAAACAAAAGGAAGCAAAATAAGGCAACAATGTAACAAATACTGAAATGCTAACAGTTTCTAAATAAAAAAATTAAATTTTTCTACTTTACGGAACTATTTTTGCTTCAGTTTTCTTCTGAATTCTTTCAGAGAATAAGTTACATTTACATAATGCCCTTCTTCATGCAGGGTGGTGTCTCGGAGTGCTTAACTGTGGCAGAGTCTGATGCTGAGCTGGGGGGAGGTGTTTGTAAGAATGGTCGAAGAGGACGGTCTTCAGGTGGGATCTGAAAATGGGGAAGGAGGAGCAAGGTGGAGGTATTGAGGGAGAGTTCCAAAGTTTCAGCGAGTAGTGGCTGAAACCACAGCCTCCGATGATGGAGCGGAGGGGACGCGGGACAAGCGGAGGCTGCGGGTGGTGGAGTGGGCAGTAAGCAGGTCGGAGAGCTGGGGAGGTGACAGGGCATGAAGGGATTCGTAGATGAGTGTAAAGATCTTGATATCAAACCGTTCTGTGAGAGAGAACCTGGTTAGGACTGGTTTCATGTTACCAATTTTTTTCTTGCGAGGATTCCACTTGTCAATGGCATAATGTTGCTACTTGAACTAAATATGCCAATTCCTTTGTCTTTATAAATGGGATTTACCTGTTTGTTTCTCCCAGGTAATGGAGAAACCAGCTGGAAAAGTGCCACCCTTCCTGACGCTGTCCCAATAGCAACAAGGTCATCAAAGCAGGCCAACAATTTAACCACTGTAATGGTTTCTGTTTTACCCTGAATGAAAAAAATGGGGAAAAATATAAAGCAAAACCAAAGTTTCACAACACAGATGAAATTAAACTCATTTTCAGATCCTTACCACGGACCATTGATGTTTTTCACATTTCTTTACCCAGCCACAAAAATATTAACAATACTGATCTGGTCAAAAAATTTAAAGAGCTCTTTTGAGTGGTTCGAAATATACCAAAACGGTGAGCAGGCATGACATATATTCTTGAGTCTGTGACATACATCAGTCACTGACTTGCAATGTTCTGTGAATAACTGGGATTTTAACATGTGGTTATTATCAACATTTTTTTCTGTATGATATTAAATCAATTTGTTGTTTAAAAGATTTCTGCCTGGCATTTCTCCTATAAAGTATAGGAGTAATGTACGATTACTGCTTGGTGTCAGAGTGTATAAAAAGATCAATGCATTTTAGATTAAAAGCTGAGCAGTTTACTGTCAGTTTACAGATTCCTGAATAAAAGCTACTCTCTGAAGATGATGTACTAGGCAGACTGGGTGCAGACTGCGCACTTTAAAATAACTGCAAGAACAGGCTCATACTCAAACTTACCTCCAAATTATATTTTTTCATCTTTTTCAGCCGCCTGCAGTAGAGATAGAGCATTCCAATACTGGTACCCACAGCAATGTAGTCTTTATTGGCATCAAGTGCTGTGAGATGTACAAGAATAGACCGGAATCCTTTCTGTATCTTTTTAGGGATGGCATTAAGCAGATAATATAAAGGACTGAATTCCTTAAAAGTAGTAAAACACACGTCTGATGCCATGGCAGACAACAAGGCTCTGTATGTGGGGAAAGAAAAAGACAATCATTACCACTAAGCAACCAGGCTTTGTTTAATAGGCTTGTAAGCATCATAAATCTCCCAGGGGATTTACGTTAGCTTCCCCTATAAGATGACATTGAAATAAAGTAAGTGTAGTTGAAAGCATACTTTCATGCAATCTGAATAGCCATATTACCCTAAATGGTTATGCTGTTTAGTTAAACGCTGTACATGGCCAAATAAATTAACAGAGGGCGAAGCTGAAATTACATCAGACGAGAGCACATTTTGATTACAAGAATTGCTTATAAAAGAAAATTACATATAAAAGAGAAAAATGACGATTGTGCTAGGTACAGGAACAATCCGGGAGAAGGATTTAATAGCAAATAGGTGTGCGAATAGGTGTTAAAAAAAGTCTTGCAGTAAAATGAGCATTAGATCGGAGTGGAGTTGAAAACGGAGCAGGTATTTGACTGAAGTGATTCATATAGGACCAGAGTATCTGTTGTATCATTCAATCCATTTCACTGTGCTGTAAATTTCTGTAAAGCTTAAATACATTTGTAGCTTTGTACAAAGCACAGTACAAAGCTACAATCTGCCATTTCAAAACAATGTTAATATGAGCAAAACAAAGATACATTAACCCCATCCACTTCTGACACTTTCTACCATAAACACTCATGGTTACAAAACTTTTTTTTAAAACATTGTGTTTATCCTTGTTCAGGTATAGAAATGGTTGATGAGGGAAAAGTATTTGCAACATCATGATTCAACAAATTTACTTCAACAAATTTTGTGAGCAATTTACTATTCAGTGCTTTATTAATTTAGAGACAAAAACACTTTTCTTATATTGGATTCCCTCCCCCGCCTTACATCTCCCTTCTTTAAGGAAAAACAAGTATTATTAGTAGTCTTTGTCAATTCAATAAGACTTCAAATGCGGAATTTTCTGTATTCCTATGTTGTACTTCAGCTACGAGAAATACTGCCAAGTTTGTGAATATGGAAAGGCTAACTAAACAGTGTTTCAGTTTACCTGCAACTCGAACTTGTTTACATCCAGTGATATTTACAATCAATCTGTTCCAAAATATCATTTGAGGTTAAAACTCTCATGGGCGCAATGTTTTGATCTGCTTCAAAGTTCCTGTAAGACGTCTGAGTGAGTTACTGAAGTCAGCTCTTCTGCATTAACTCAGCATTCCAGTCTGAGTCGACTCTCTGTGAAGAAGCAATTACATAGGATCCCCTTTCTGGCATTTGCTCTTTATCCATAATAGATATTGCCGACCGAGAGAACAGTTCACAGGATTTACTGTACGGTGTAGTGACTGGCAATATAATTAGTAATCAAGAGAATCTGAGGTTATTGGCATCCGCAACATTACACTGTAGACTAAGTTTCTGACCAAATTACATAATTTAGACCTTCGGATAACGCGGGGGAGAGAGGGGGGTCTTCCCCACCCATATTTTGTTGTGTTTTTTTTCTGGTCCTGCGGTAACCCATCACCATGGCTGAGCCAGACTCAGGTTATGATGCTCGGAAAGGAGACTGAGTGGCAGATCAGATAAACACTGGTCACAGGAGGGGGGGGGGGGGGCACTTTCCAACAGTGCATTGACACCATCACCAGCAATGAATGATGGTGACAGATCCAGGCCAGACAGACAACCAGACAGACAGACAGACAGCCAGACAGCCAGGCCAGGCAGACAGGCAGCCAGGCCAGACAAACAGACAGACAGACAGACAGACAGACAGACAGACAGACAGACAGACCAGACAGACAGACAGACAAACAGACAGACAGGCCAGACAAACAGCCAGACAAACAGACACAGACAGACAGACAGACAGACAGACAGACAGACAGACAGACAGACACAGACAGACAGCCAGGCCAGACAAACAGGCCAGACAGACAGACAGACAGACAGACAAACAGACAGCCAGCCAGACAGACAACAGACACAGACAGACGGCCAGGCCAGACAAACAGGCCAGACAGACAGACAGACAGACAGACAGACAGACAAACAAGACAGCCAGCCAGACAGGACATACAGACAGCCAGACAGACTGCCCGGCCAGGCCAGACATAGACAGCCAGGCCAGACATAGACACAGACTGCCAGACAGACAGACAGACTGCCCGGCCAGGCCGCGCGGGCTGCAGCCACATCCAACCGTTAAGGAAACTCTCATCCTGCAACGCCTCCCGCAGGCCCAGGCCCCGAGTGACGGCACCGGCCTCGCTGCCGTCCCCACCACCCACTCGCTACTTACGCCGGAATCCAGCGCCTACGACTCTCCGGGGCCTCAGACCGTCTCCAGGTACCAGCGCCGCCTGTACCGAGTGACTGCCATGTTGTTTGAGGCGCTGGAACGTCAGCTCAGCCGCTGTCACTCAGGGTCTCTCGACCAATCACAGCCGCAAACCCGCCCCCACTCGTCACTAGACCGCACCCCATCCGCGTCAAGGGGGTGGGGTCTAGTGACGAATGGGGTGTGGGCTGTAACTGTCCACCAATCCCCGTCCCCAGACTGTCCACCAATCCTCGCCCCAGACTGTCCACCAATCCCCGCCCCCTGACTGTCCACCAATCCCCGCCCCCTGACTGTCCACCAATCCCCGCCCACTGACTGTCCACCAATCCCCGCCCTCAGACTGTCCATCAAGCCCCGCCTCCTGACTGTCCACCAATCCTCGCCCTCAGACTGTCCACCAATCCCCGCCCTCCAGACTGTCCACCAATCCCGATCAGATCTGCTGGTGTCATGCATGGAGCAGGAAGTGAGCTCAATGTGTATCCAACAGCCACCTGAGCTGCAGAGAGAGGCCGGTGGTGTCTGCATGTGCTGCAATGTGACTCCCTCTGGTCATGGCAGGTATGTTTTGTTGTAAACATGGAACATTTGGGAATATAGGAAGAGGAGGAGGCCATTCAGCCCTTCGAGCCTGTTCCGCCATTCTATTAGACCACGACTGATCTGCACCTCAACTCCGGTTAAATCATGGACTGAATGTTGCAGGAGGTCCATTATTAGCATCTGAAACAGAGATGTTTCGCCTTTACCTTTTGGCAGGTGATTGGCCCTATTTTAAGTTGCGGATTTCTAGCATTCTAAGCCGAGCGCGATTTGTTGCGCTCGCCCCTGAGTCATGAGGTTGTGGGTTCAAGTTCCTGGTTACAAACTGAGATTTCGCCTGCCCGTCCGGGTGGACCTGCAAGGTGGACATATTCAAGAAAGAGAAGATAACGTTAGTCAGTCGATTCATGGCTGTTTGTGGAGCATTGCTGTGCACAAATTAGCTATTGGGTTCGCCTGCTAAGTATGCAGGAACAACGCTATTTTGTGCACTATTGTTGAACATTTGTTGCGTATTCTGATAAGAAAATGTAATGGCACTTCTGTACCAAGTTATACTTTAAAATGATTTTAAACAAACCTTTTAAAATTGGTGCTCTGTAAATAGAATACTGTAATTAAAACTGTTTTTGTTTACAAACAGGTACATGTAAGAGTCCAGGCTCTATAACTCCTAGAAAGGCAGACTTGATCAACAGTGCCAGAAAACTGAAGGACAATGCAGCAGACTGGCATAACTTCATGCTGAAATGGGAAAATATTAATGATGCCGGTTTCTCAATAGCAAATAGAATTGTTAACATTAAACTTGGCACCCGGTAAAGTGTTACATTTTTAAAGTTTTGTCTTGGCGTTAAAACAAACAACTTATCTCAATGAGTTGTTTGTTCACTAGATAAAGCTAGATCCTGTTATTCGTTAGTACGGTAATATAAGATAGTATTTACTTTAAATTGAATATCACATATTGCAGCTCGGTAATGGTTAAGAACTGTAACAACATCTCAAGTAAGTTGTAATATTTTGTCCTCCATCGTTGGTTACTTTTAAATTGATTTCAGTATTCCTATGCAACATTTGTTTAGGATTGAAAGTCCAGACAAGTTGGAAACATTGGAAGGGGATGGAAATGACTCTCACCGTGGAAATGCCCACGTGCAATATAACAAAGAACTGGAAGAATGTTGCACAGAGTTGCAGGACCTTCTGGACAAAATGGTAAGAATTTTAAATGAAACATATTGTAACCATACTTGGCCCAACAGTGAATAAAAGTATCAAAACATGGGCATAAAGTTGCTCAATTTATCTAGCAGTAAAGCACTGGCCAGTTGCCTGATAGTGGGCACAAGGTTGAATTTGTATCATTTGAATTGCTGTGGCAGATGGCAAATTCCAATGAAGGTTGTTGTAAAGAGTGTTTTCTCTCCCACTAATACACACACACACACACGCGTACGTAGAACTGATTTACATAGTTTGGTCTGAACATGTTTGAAAACCCTGACATGTTTTCATCTTGTTTATTCAGAAGCCACATTTCCAGGCTCTTAACTGCAAGTCTATAATAAAATTTCATTTTCAGGTTGGTTTCACATCTCCTGAATCAATAACTTCAGATTGACTTTCTAGGTCTTTTTCTAGTAAAGGAAGGAGTAGAATTAAACCACAACAAGATTACATTTGTATAGCGCCTTTCACGCCAGGAGGATATCCCAAGGCGCTGAATAATAATAATAATCCTTGATTCGGTATGGTGTCTTATCAGGTCATTGGGATGTCTCAAGGCGCCTCACAGAATATATTGTAAAGTGGATTGACTGTATTTTGTGGATGAAACGTGGCAGCACAGTAGTGTCCCACAAACAGTCATTGATTGAGTGATCAAATTTTTTTCAGAGATTATTACTCCTGGAAAGCGATCCACCAATTAACTAACAACCTAAAAGCCTAATATGCAGCACAAAGTGATGGATTATCTTATTATAAAATCTGATTTTACAACAGCTGTGTGATTAAGTATCTGCATGCAGCTATTTTCTACGATGTGGCTGTCATGTTTATGACCTGGATTTCTTTCAGTCAACACACACTGTAAACCACATGTACAGATGAAGGGCACAAACCGCAGGTTAATCAACTTTCAAACACTTTAGAACATCCTCTTGACATGAAAGATTCTAGCAATATGTGTAAGTTGTATTAGAACTTTATTACATAGTATTGTGTATTTTTTCTTTCAGGCAAAGTTGGTATTAAAGATGGAAAGGTTATCTTCAACCATGAAGGGAATATGTGAACTTGAACATTATTATCATGGTGAAACTGAAAGAGAAACTCCTTTCTTTAACACATGGACAACAAAATACTTCTGTAAGGGTAACTTATGTGGCAGTTGACCAAACATGCATGAATTTAATAACAACCTAATTCAGAGGAAGATGGCTTTGCAATTTTAAGAGAAATCATGGAGAATTTACAGCATAGTTTATTTTAACTAATTTGTCTTTTAAAAGGCAGAGAATGATAATGTGCATTTAAAAATGAACTATTAAAAAGGGCTCTTACTCCTCCTTGTACTCTAGAAATATATAAGCCTTATAAATATTCTAAAATTTACAAATATATGGCACTTTCCACTTTGGGAGGATATCCCAAAGGGCTTGAAACCTGTAGCTTAGTTGTCAATTGCACTGGTAAATAACTAATGGTTCAAAAAAGGCAATCACTCTCTGGTATTTCAACAGATCTTTTGATTTTAGCATTTTGAACAGAAATAGTGATGGTACTAATGCTTTCATTTCTAACTACTTTTGTCTCAGATGAAGTCTCGGTACAGTTATCTGAAATGTACAGAAAAGAAATGCAACTGAAACAATTAATTGCTCAAGAGATTGCCCACACGAGTGACCGTAACCTGATGCTGATGCAACTGTCTGCTTGGCTATACCAGCCCTATGTAGAGGAGAAAGCCAAACTTCTAGTCGAGAGCATGCTCTTGGAAACTGGACACAGGCCTCTATAAACAAAACTGACAAGTCATTTGCAAATCAAACACACCAGTTACTTAGTATTGCCTTTCAGATTTGTGCACTTTTTCAAATCCATAAGAATCATTAAAAGTCTAAGGGTCTAATCTGAGATTGATTCAATGGAGGGGTGCAAGAGGGAGGATACTGATTTTAAATAGCTAAAATGCATGAGATTTTCTAACAAAATGGACAGAGGGGTAGGATATGTGTTTGTAAAATAAAAATGATTTTGACAGCAGGCAAAGAAAATATATTCATTTATTTCCTTTTTAGAAACTTCATTGAAACACTTGTGTGAAAAAAATAATTTCATTGAAATTATTCAATATGGTCCTGAAAGATACTTAAGTTAAATATTTGTCTTGCAAAGATGTGAAAACAAAGATCATCAAAACTGCTACAAAATGTGTCTCAGTGGCTTATTTTATCTGCTCCATTGGATATATATTGTCAGAACCATAAGCTTTACACCATATTTTAAACAGTAATCACATTGTTTGTATAGTCCAAAGTACAAAAAAACCGCAGCATATGAAATATTAAAGTAAATATTTAAATTTATACAAAGATGTGTATATACCATGTACTAAACCAACTTTTGGCCTCGTACAAAGTTGCTCCTCGACAGAAAGCAGTTCTGTTTTGTAATAAGTTATACAAAACATTATTCAATGTTTAAAGAATGTGTTTAGGCAAAGTTAACTGAAATGACCATAAAGATTGATTCAGTTCAAAACATCAAATTGAAATTAAGGCCAAAAAAAAGCTGTCTGTCCAGATTACAATGTACTATTAAGCACAAGATATAGCAAAATACTTCATATCTATAATTAAAGATAAAAAGAAAATAAATTCAATTTTTCTGATTTTTTCAGTCTTTAAATAGTTTCATTATTTACAAACAAGTTAATACAGTTCAAAGTATTGTTGTACACTAGAGAAATCCCCAAACTTCCAAACATGCACAACACTCCTGAAATTGCAATACATATTGGATGAAAATAATTATACAAGAAATTAGTGATCTATACATACTATAACAGGCATGGAACTAAATCCAATTCCAATCCCCTCAACCCTACAGAAAATAAATACTAAACTTCACATTAAACACATCAAGTTTTTTTTAAAATCAGTTGGCTGCAGGGAAAAAAAAAGGAATGTGTGTTTGGGACACAGGTCATTGGAAATATTCTGGTGGAGCGAGTCCTATTTACACTTCCATGACTGTAGAAAATAACTTTGATCTTTCTTCGGTCTGAAAGTTTGTATTATTCTAGTAACATTACTGCAGCCTATTGACACATCTGTCCCATCTCAGATGAAATCCGATCCTCTTTAACAGATGGCTAGTCTCCTTAAACCTAGTAACAGAATGAAGTGTAGAAGACTCTTCAATCTACATGATCACTACAAGAGAGTAGTGCAAATGTGAATTGATAGGGAGAAGGGGGGATGGTAGATTTATACTCTATATTGAATACAATTAGGTGATTGTGGAACATACCAGAAAAACATAGCCCATATGTTGGTTGGTAATACTCAATTCTGTAAAGATGTTATCAAGTTTGAGTTTTGCTGCAGTCATTAAGTTGGGCATTACCTTCTAAAATTCTTGTATATTAACATTTCTGCAGATTTCAAAAAATATAAACAAGCAGGCTAAATTCAATTCATGGCTAGTACTAAAGTGCTCTTCTCTCAGTTGTCTGAGATTTAATTCTCATTTTCTTTGGTTGTCAAAGTATTTTTTCCCATAAAATAAATGGTCTAGATCAAATAAATTGTTAAACAAAATACAGAGTCCTCCAAACATTTTAAAAACTGCAAAAAAAGCAATTTAAATCCAGTGTTTTAAAACACAAACCACAATATGCACTTCTATGCAACATGGACTTTTTATAATGCCGTCTATAAATGGAAATTAAGTTGAAAGATTTCAATAATTTATAACTAATTTTGGCAATCTAAATGCATGCTTGTAGTACCACACATTTTGTTTCCATTGCAACTGAGATGAATTACCAGCACCTTAACTAGCTGATATAAGAAGCGTTTTCCATTAACAGAACAAAGTCATGAGATTTAGATTTATTATGAAAATTTCCCCACAAGTACAAGTATTCTTATAAGGGCAATCCATTTAAAAAATAGGCAGAACATGTACAAATACTATTTTGGCAATGTTGTCATCTCAATAAGTAACAAATAGTAGCAGACAGTCAAGTTGCAAAACATAATAAAAAGAAAACATTCTGAATCAGTGCAGCAACATCACATTTTCTGGTCTATTGCAGATCCGCATCTCTGTTCAGGAGGATAAACTTCAATAAATGTACCTGGATTCACTTTTTCATACACCCTTGCGAGGCTTATTGCAACATTCAGGGTTGAACTTCCACTGAAATCTTAGCCCCACTTTTATGCCAGGCAGATTTATTAGCTTGCAGAGCTGTAAAGTTTAACACAAAATACATAACCTCAACAAATGTTCAGTTTAATACATAACATCAAATAGAAATAGTTAAGTATTATTTATAAAATTGAACAGCCCTCATTGTATGTCTGAACAGTTCATTGAAAAAACATCTGCTGTAGTTAGTATTTTTGCTGAAATGGGAGGTGGAGAAAGAAAAGCGAGTTTTCACTGCTCCACTTCAGTTTGTGTTTGTGAAACCAACAAGGTTTCACTTTGCCCTTCTGAATCCATCGCGAGAAGTGCTTCTACAGTTTCAATGGGAACACCATCTGGTGTTCGTATGTGCATTGTGGTACCATCAGCATTGGTTACTATAACAATGCCATCAGAAGTATGAGACACCACAGCAGTTCCTTGATGAGACAGAAGAAGTCCCTCAGAAGTCTGAATGAAGATCTGTTCATGTCCCTGAGCCAAAAATTCCTGACTTCCATCAGGGAGCTGAAACTGTAGTGTTCCATCTTCCGTCACTGTGCTCTCCAGAATATTCGCCGATACCACACGATTAATCTGATCGGCATTCTGTTCATCAACATGCATTATTTTATTTGGATCAACTACTTCCAATAAATTTATCTCTTCCGAAGTAACCTGGCAATCGAGTTCTACTTGATCAGATATGTCAGCTTCAAATGTCTCTTCAATTTGTTGCTGCTGCTGCAAGCTGTTTACTTCAGTCCTACAAATATGCTCTGTGGGCTCCACATCATGGGATAGAGCGTTCTCAAGCTGCTGCATCTGATCTGCTATGTCAGAGTCATTTATCTGCTCAGATTGCTCCTGATTGCAAAGTGGATCCTGGCTAGAAATCTCATGCTGCAGTTCCTGAACACAACTGCTGGTTTCTTGTCGGTTATTCTTAATCATATTTGAAAGAAGCGTATTCTGATTTGTCATTTCATCATCAGATTGCACAGGGGAGGTTAGATCAGGGTCACTCAGATGATCTGGTATCTGGTTTCGGCTGGACAACTGCTCCTGAACAATTTCTTCTGCTGTAACGTCTGTGTCCATCGTTAAAAAATCACTTTCTTGCTCCTGAATAGAATTATTTAGGCCTTGGTTTTCTGATTCCAGCAGAGGAAGTTGGGAGCTTGAAAGAGTTACTTCAGCAACCTGAAAACCTAGATCCTCAGAATTAGATTGCTCTTCTCCTGGCCCCATTGTACAATTTTTCATGTTATTCCCAGATAGTAACTCATCATTGTGCTTATCCACAACCTCAGCAGCCAATGTTCCAGGTGAAGTTGTAGGTGCATCGCAAGTATTCACCGCAGGACAATCAGTTGGCTTTTGGCCTACAAAAAACAGTTATGTGAGTAAAGGTTAAATATGTAACTAGGAAGAAAATTCAAGCTATCAATTTAATTGCCCTTCATGACATTCTCCTGAATGTCAAGTTGGCCTTACTGTATATATTTCACCCACAAATATACAGTCAATTCACTTTAGTCTATTCTGCGAAGCGCTTTGAGACATCTAGAAGATGTGAAAAACGCTATATCAAATGCAAGGATTATTATTATATATAGCAACCAGAATTGTAGTCTTCAGGTTGAGGTTATGGTGTTCTATACAAGTACATTATCTTTTGTCTATTTCTTTAAAGCATCCTCAAAGTCATATTTGCTCAGGTTACTGCCTCTGTGCATTGATTGCATTAATATTTGAGCATTTTAGCAACCCATTGTATCCTCTAATTCCTCTTCTGAAAGTTAATAGCATTTATTGTCTGCTCCAACGTCTTAGTTTCCTTCCCCATTTCATATTTGTCCACATCAGTTGATCATGATCCCATGGCATTGATTATTTGCAACTTGCCCCTAGTTTACTGTTAGCAAATATAGATAATTATTTTATCACCACTTTCTAATCATTTATGTTCAGAATAAACATCATTGGAGCAATAAAGCATCTTTACGTCACCTCACTAGTTGCCTCCTGTCACTCTGATGCAGCTCCATAAATCTGTGGTTTCCTTGGATTCAACCACTGCCTAAATCATTTATTGAGAATATGTAATATTACCTGCTTCAGTAGTTAAACATTGTAAATTGTCTTCAACTTTCTGTACTCCATTTTGATTGACATTGCTTTCAGTTTGCACAGTAATATCCATTCTCATTCGTTTTGATGAAGGTGGGAAGGCTCCAAAGTCCTTCTGAAAAAGATGATAATAATTTTAGAACACAATGAACGAGAAAGATAGAAATTACATATTTGCTGCAAACTGCCGCCAGTATTGTTAAGTAGAATATTAGGTTAATCGTACAAGTTTTAACAAATATGTGGCACTTGTAAGAAAAACATAATGATCCTTGCATTTGACATCGCGCTTTATCACATCGTCAAGACATCTCAAAGCGCTTCACAGGATATACTATAAAATAGATTATTTGGGAGATTTGTTGGGCAGGACACAGGGAGAAACTCTCTTCTCTTTTCGAACAGTACTATGGAATCTTTCACAAATGTAATTTTGTCGTTGTCGGGTGTTTAACGTCCACCTGAACAGGCAGGCATACTTCAATTTAATATCTCATCCGAAGGACAGCATTTCCGACAATCCAACACTCCCCCAGCAATGTATTGAAGTGGATTATGTGATTCCAAGTCCAGATATTATAAACATAACTAATGCTTGAAGCTCTTATTGTTGGTTTCCATCCTTTCTATAAAATGTTTGATATATCTCTGTGCTTCCACTCACTTCCTGATGTGTGACAAGGATTACGTGATTGCCCATTTCAGGCAGGGACTATGAGCTTCTGGTTTAAAGACCCGTGATCCTGTTTGCTGCAGTAAAGCAGTCACTAATGTAACAGGCATTCAGAAAGCAAATAAAAAGCTAAAGCATGTGCCAAATTGCAGGTTGGAGAATGCTTGTCACTCCCCATTTAATCAGAGAATGTCCCTTTTATCCCAACTCTCTGCCTTCTAATCAATATCCTATTCATATCACACTATTGCCTTCAATTCCACACACCCTAATTTGAGCTCTTAGCTCTTCTGAAAATCTATATTCATTATATATACAGTATATATATTTTAAAAGAGAATTATAAGAAAATCTATTTGGGCAAGTCAGGCAACATCATATTGCAAAGAATCATTTTTATTTTATCCAGCATTCAATGCATTTAAAGTTTAAAAAATTCATACTCACTTCTAAGGCATGTTTTTCTCCAGATGAATTCAGGTTGTTCTTGTCACCCACTGTAACTATACTGTAGGACAGAGATAAGTCTGCATTCTGCTGCTTTTCTTTGCTCATAAACTCGGTCATGCCTAATGATTCAGCCACCTGAACCATGGAAGGGAAGCGAAAATTTATCTAGTCTATAAATACCGCATTTTACAGAAAAATCATGTGAAATGCTTTGAAAATTTTTGATGACAATAATAATTTTTGTACTTGCTTGTATTATTACTGTATTAAATGCAATTTTTAAACATTGAACCTAGTGCTGTACTTTTACAGCAACTACTCACTTAAAGGAGCAAATGATAAATTGAAGAATGCAATATGAATTGCATGTATTTGAGTGGAATAAAATCTCATTTGGAGAACTGGGCAACTCACTAGATTTGCAATTTTCTTTTCACCGTTGGGACTCAATTAATAAGAATAAAATCTTCATTTGTTATTCACTATAAGGTCTATGTGACGTTTGTGCAGTTTTCACCCAGCTCATAATGGGTATTCAGGCAAAAAAAAAATCTAAATTTGGCATTCAAAAGGCCACAATAGTTGGTAAAAATGGAAATGTCACACCAGTGCAGTTGATGTTGACATAATTTACTCTGCATGTAACCTGACATGCGAGGACACAATGCGGACTGGATGTAAACAGTGGAAACGTGTTTCCTATTCCCCAATCTCGCATTAATCTCGCCTTTATGAGCACACAAATGTAATAAAGATATCAGAAAAGTTCTATCTCAGCAGGAGACAGATATAGTGGCATTGAACTATATTCATATACATTTTTAATAACTTAGGAAAAATGAGAAATACATTCTAAGTTCCAAAACAAACATTTACCTGTAAACAAGAGATTTGCAAGGGCTGTTGAGGACTTATCACCCGGAAGGAACTACTTAACTGCTCTTCGGCCATTTTCTTCACGTGCTTATGCAGCATTTCAAACTCTTTATACACATCTGGGAAGTGTGGTCTAGCAGGCCTTCCTCTTTCTACCTGGGAGTATAGCAGTAAATGGATGAAAATCCAGTGCGTCAGGGAACAAACCTATCCTTTGTATCAAAAAGGCAAAACAATACAATTCTTACAGTATACACCATACAAGCACCAGTACACTCTGAAAAATTGTACTTTTAACACTTTGTTTAAGTGGGCATGGAGGAAAACAAGAATTTTAACATGTTGTAACCAAAAGATGTCCTCCCCTAATGGTACACTGGGATTACAGTTATCAAAACTGTATTATTCTGCTTTGGCAGAGTATTTTGGACTGAGGAAAGCGGGGGGGGATGAGGAGAGAGGGGTTAATTTTTTTTAATAAGTGAAAACTCCTCACCTCAAAATCATCAGGTCCACCATTTTGAGTACAGCACCATTAGGTTGGCAGCATTCGTGAAACCATCACGACTGATGTGCTGCTAACATTTCTCACCGAGGATTCTGTTTCAGGCGCCACGTCATTTCCAGCTTGCGATAAGGATGGAAAGACTTGCAAAATGGTGGATTTGTGAATTAAGGGACATTATATGCATTATACACATACACTTGCGGCTTTTAAGTAGATATTCAGAGTTCTCCAGAGGCTGGAACTCTGGAATATCATGCAATATTTAATTTCTCTATCTCAATCTGAACCAGGAAGGAAAGCAACTTTAAGAAGCCATAAATGCCATTCCACAATTTTATAGTCTGCCAACCCATTTTTGTAAAAAAAAATAAACAAAAACACATAGTCATCAATTCCAAGATTTTACATGCTTTACACACTACTGCAAGTATTAGTGAAATTCTGAATAATAACAGGAGGAAATATTTTAAAAATTGCTCTTTATACCACAAAAAAGCCATATTTCTTGGCCAATCACAAACCAATATATGTTACATGTTGTAAGTAAAATTTCACTGAGCTAGGAGTTTGTCAATGATTCTTTATCAACCGATCAGAACAGAAATGTGTAAAACAGCACGCACATGGATTATTTTGAAAAATTAATTTGTGCAATTGCCAGCTTCATAACTCACACAGTCAACAATTCTCTTGGAGGTTGATACATTGCAGTATTTTGGAATTTTTCATATTTTTGTATATGAAATATCAGGAATTCATCCTAAATACTACACAGTTACATAGGCTCTAGTACAATACTGTAATAATACGCAAGTTCTCTAACCTTCATCAGCAGGAATTCCCAGAGTGTGATCACTTTTGTAAGTCTGGGGAGAGCCAATTCCATTAGTTCTTCATCATCACACTGCTTTAGGAACTAGTGAACCAAACAAAATCTTAAGTTCTATGTTGGATATAAAACAAGATGTACAATATAGTAACCAGCAATGGAAATAGTGTATAATAATACTTTAAATAAAATCATTGAAAGTAGACAGCAAATTAATTTTAGATTTGTCAATTATTAAACTCAGAATATTTTAATACTTTGATTGTTACACTTAGATCACACAATATCCAAGATCGTAAAACAAAGCAGATGGATCACTGCATTAAAAATAAGGGAAGAATGTATTCCCCGATTACATGTGCCAAAGGGTTTATAAATTGGGCCATAAAACATATGCTCACATTTGTATAAATTTACATTAAAGCCATGTGTTAAACAAAGAATGCCTGAAACAAATTTTGAAATGGATAATAAGCAAATCTGAGTTCTGATCTAGTGTACAAATTGAGGAGAAAAGGAAATGATAAAATAAATTGTATCCAAATTAAACCAAGTCACTTGTTGAAACTCCTACCTCTTTTAGCCTTGCCTTCCTCTTAAGGACTTGATCTTGAGGAGTGTTGTTGTGCTGTTTAGGAGGCCTCCCGCGCCGCACTGTTTGCCGATGCCCAGGAAAATTATGCGCTGATGTAATCTTTACAGGCTGCAAGAAAAGGAAGTGTAGCTTTTAATTCTATGCTTCAAACATTATGTTATCAACATTTAAGATATGTAAGATTAATAACAGAAATAACATTGTAAAGCTATATTATATGATACAAAAGTTTAATACACTTCACTTTAACATTGTGCACTAAACAACAGCTTCAGCTTTGTCCCATCCCAAACCTGCTGATTCGCAGTTCTATAGGTATTGATCACCCTCGCGATTATTCATGTGTGAGCCCAGACCACAAGCATCAGCAGTTTATGAGACTGGAGAGCACATCACAGTCAATCCAAGCTTGTCCCTACAATTATGTTCCAGCAGCAGTGTCTCAAACACAATCTGGAGTGGAAACACTGGTTGAAATTTTCCTACCTTAGGGATGATTCTAGCTTCATCACTCAAGGATCAAGCATCGCCCTTTGTGTTCTGAAGGGCTCAGTTCTACACTCAGTGAAGACATTGCCCAATGTGTCAACAAGGACAATATAAAACGTATTTTTTAAAAACTACATTACAAAATTAATTGTTAAAACAAATATAGGTTAAATTACAATTTACAGTTGTGTTCATCACATGAATATTTATAAATAGAAGGTGTAGGACATCAATCAAATAACTATTTTGAGACTATCCACTATGAATTTTTATTAATCCATGGCCAATTTAGAGAATTTGTAGAAATACTGTGCAACAGGAGCCAACATGAAACTCCAACATGAAAGTAATTTCACTGCACCTTTTATATTCACTTTATTGCTCAACTGTGCCCTGTCCATAAGCGAAAAGATATAATTCTGTACAAAATAATAAATTATAGTATAGTCTTAAACTTGCAAAATAGATTTTTCCATTAAAGCCCCTATGTTCCTGATTCCATAATGTCTCAGTCGGAAAAGACACTGGCCTGTATTGCTTTAAATATATCTACTAGGTGTGACTCAGTTACACATAGTACAGGAATGGTTCAGGTCAGTAACCAGGAAAGAAATTCATATACATACAAAAACCACAATGAAACAGAAACAATGCACAGTCATTCTTTAAATTATACATAAACACAGAATATCTGAGACTATCAGAAGCTAGATTCAGAGGTACTCATAAATTAGTGCAATAATGGACAGTGACAAAAAGTACTGTACTTTCTTTTAAAAAAGCAATGCTGCCTGGAAACCATGTTATGTATTTGACTGCCAAAACCACAATTTCAATTCTACTTTTTGCTTCTATCCTGAGAGTGGAATGAATTTTCACAAGCATCAGCTCTCTAGTACTTCAAGCAGTCCTGCTTGACATGTGGTCCTAGGACAGTATGATTGAAGGTTTTTTTTCATGTGAGGGGGAAGGATAAAAAAGAGAAAGAAACAAAATATTACTGCTGAGCCTTTCCTACCTAAAAATGCAGTTTCCAGTAAAGGTCACTGATTTATAACCACGCTAACCTAAAATGTAGAGGCCAATTGTAGCATCTAGCAGCTAGAGACTCAGCCCAAGACTCCTCTGTAGTGTAGAAGTTGTTTCACCTTGTCCAATGGCTTACGCAACTAAGTAATTAAGTTTCTGCACTATTCATGCTGCATTCTACCTCCAAGCACCTAGTTCACAATTTCGTAAAGCTAATAATCATCCTCACCATTAAGATCTAAATGCATCTCCCCTTATAGCTCTGAACAGTCGGGGCCCGAGTATGGGGAAGGGGTGGCGAAGGGATGAGAGAAGGCAGAAGGTGGGAGGGCGACCAAAAGCTTGGTCGAAGAGAAGGGTCTTGAGACCTTGAAGGAGGCAAGGGAGGAAGTGAGGCGAAGAGAATGCGGGATGGAGTTTCAGAGTGTGGGGGCAGAGAGGCTGAAAGCCTCTCTGATGGTAGGGCGGGTCAGACGGGAGACATGGAGCAGACTGGAGCCTGCTGAACGGAGGGAGCGGGCAGATTGGTAGGGAGTCAGCAGGTCAAAGAGGTAGGAGGGGGCAAGACCATGGATGGCCTTGAAAGTGAGGACGAGGATCTTGAACTCAATCCTCTGGGGGATGGGAAACCAGTGGAGTCGGGCGAGGGTGGGAGTGATGGGGTCAAGGAGCCTGGTGCGCGAGAATACACGAGCTGCAGAGTTTTGGATGATCTGCAGCTTGTGAAGGGAAGAGTTGGGAAGGCCAATGAAGCCCACAAATATACAGTCAATTCACGTCTAGAAGACGTGAAAATCGCTATATCAAATGCAAGGATTATTATTATACACACGATAATAATCCTAGAATTTGATACAGAACACATTACTTCTCAAAGTGCTGCACAGTTAATTTGATCTCACAAACAGCCATGAAGTGAATGACAAATTTATCCAGAGATAGTTGATTCCTCTACTCTCAGCGAGTACATTCAAGAAAGGGACAAAACTGGAATTAAACTATCTGAATGTAATGCTTTACTACTTACCTGCTGGACTCCCTGAGAAGATGCAGTTGTGCTATCCACTGTTACTGATTCAGTGGCATGGATTAGAGGGGGTGTCATTAGTTCAGGAGATGGTACTACTCGTCCAGGAGTTAATTTGCCATTTTCATCGCCACCATTTCCACTGTCCCCAACAAGCACATTTCCATTGGGTTTGTTTACAGAAGTCCTCTGTTCTTCAGGGGCAGAAACCAGCTGCCCATGAGATGCATTAAGCCTGTAGTGCCGAGCTAATCCACCTCTTCCAATATAGGACTTTTCACAGGTTTCACATTTAAACTTCTTAGGCTTGAAAGAACATGGCAAAGAAAGATTGCGGTCTTCTTCTTTTGCCTTTGCTTCTTCTTCTTCCAAACTGTATTCAGAATAGTCATCAGAATCTGACTGATGGCCCTCTGCCAAGTCTTCGGTTTTTATAAACTTATAATCTTTGACCTTATATTTTGGCGGTCGTGATATCCGCCCAGATCGAGTTTTGATTTTTACAGGTTTTTTCTGCTTCGATTTCTCACTAAGTTCGTGCTTCTTAGCGTTAGTGCAGGAATTTGCTACCACTGCCGTAACAGCAGATTTACTAGCAGCTATGGAGTTTGTGAAGATGCCAGATTGTGCACTGATGCTCACTCCCGGAAGCACATTAATAGAGTTTACAGGTGCAAGTGGTGGAGGCTGTCGCTGAACAAGCAGCTGGATTGGGGGTACAGAAGAACTGTGTAAAATATACTGCTGTGGTCCAGATCCAGAGAGAGGCTGGATTCTAATGATTTGAGGTCCAGAGATATTAACTCCACCTGAAACAATGTTGCTTTGGTTTCCCAATTGAGTAGAAGCTGCTGTCTTGGGCTGAACCACTGCCAGAGGTGGCATAGGCCTATCTTTCCTCTCCTTCTGTGGTTGCACGGTTCGTATGTGAACCTGGACAGTTTCTAACTGATGCTGTAGAAGGAAAAAAACATAACTCTATTTAAAAATTTAAAGTTCATTATCATTCACCTTCAAGGCCCTCCACGGCCTTCCCCCTTCCTACCTCTATAACGCCTTATTAACCTGTCCGCTCCCTCTGTTCAGCAGGTTCCAGCCTGTTCCATGTCCCCTGCCTGGCCCGCCCTTTAGCCTCTCCGGCCCCACCCTTTGGAATTCCATCCCACATTCCCTTCACCTTGTTCCCTCCCTTGACTACTTCAAGGCACATCTCAAGACCACCCCGCCCGCCTTCGCCAACCCTCCTATCCTCCCTGCCCCTCCCCAAATCCCTGACTGTCCAGCGTCTTGGGTCGTCCTCCCAACATGAAAGGCACTATACAAATCTAATTTTGTACTATTATATTGTTATTTTATAGCAATTTAGTTACACATTAAAAAGGTATTTTCAAAAATTGAATCAGTTAGCCCGTTTAGTTTTCAGATCAATATGAAATTACTTTTGAGCAGCAGTTAAAATATTTCAAAAGGCAATTTTGCAGATTATTACAGTACTTAAAAGGGTACAATTTAGTTTTGACCTAATTTTGCAAATACTTAAGCCAATAACACTGAACTGTGCGTATGGATTTCAGTGTAAATCACCAATCAGCATTACGAGCAGAACATGGCTGTCTTTCAAGCTGGTGAATTATAACAACGCATCGATTCCATCTGCTACCAGTTGCTATATCTCACCCACATGAAGTTCAAAAACCAAATCAATCATTCTATTTCTGAAGGATGTCAGTACTATGGCGATGAGAGAAATACCCATTTTAAAACACTCTTTTGATCGATATTACATTTTGAACTGTTTGTAATAACAGATATAAATTTGTAAAGCATTTTTGTTGAGAGTCAATCAGTGAGTTAGTGACAAAGCGGGAAATATTGTGGAGGTGGGGGAAGGCAGAAAGGTCATGGCACGGATGTAGGTTTAAAGGAAGGTTGAGGGTCAAACAAGATACCACGTTTCCACACTGGCTCAGTGAGGTGGACAGTGCATCCATGAATAGTGATACTGACAGTGCCTGAGGCAAGGAGGTGCTGACGAGATCCAAACGGAAGAACCTCAGTCTTGTCGACAATCGACTGGAGAAAATTGGCTCTCATCCAGGACTTAATGTATGACAGACAATATGTCAGGACAGCAGTGGTCCGGGAGTCAAGGATGAAGTCAGAGAGATAAAGTTGGTTGTCATTCGCATGCATGTGGAAGTTAACCCCGTGCCTGGGGATTCACGTCAGTAGGATGTCTCAATGTGCTTCACATGATATACTGTAATGTGTAATGACAGTATTTTGTAGGTACATGCCACAGCCATTTTGTGGACAGCAGTGTCCTACAAACAGCCATGAAGTGAATGAGCAATTTTATCTGGGGGATTGTTGCACAAACCCTGGGAGAATCTCCTTTTCAAATTGTGCCACGGGATCTTTAACGTCCACCTGAACAGTCAGACAAAACCTTTGTTAAACATCTCCACCTTTGTGGAGTCCTGTGGCTCAGTGGTTAGAGCACTCGCTTTGCAAGTGAGAGACCTGAGTTCAATTCCAAGCAGAGGGTGAAACCTTGGGCAAGTTTCCTTACTCCACACAGAGCCTAATAATAATCCCTCCAAAAAAACAAAACAATAATAAATTGGTCATTTTCAATCATTCGCCTTCAAGGCCCTCCACGGCCTTACCCCTTCCTACATTTGTGGGACATTGCTGTGTGCAATTGGCTGCCGCGTTCGCCCACAAATATACAGTCAATTCACTTTACAGTGTGTTCTGTGCAGCGCTTTGGGACGTCCTCCCGATGTGAAAAGCCCTATATCAAAAAAAATGCAAGGATTATTATCTCACCTGAAGGGCAACATCTCTGACAATAAGTGTATTCTGCACTGCAGTACAGTGTATTCCACACTGCACTGAAATGTCAACCAAAGGGCTTGGACCAATAACCTTCTGATGCAAGAGCTAAGAGTGCCACCAACCGAGCCAACCACGAACACGCAATACGGCAGCAGTAAAAAAAAGTATTTAAAACAACTGTGACCCTGGTTTACGTTTTCAAATTGCAAACAGACGTGTTCACCAATACCTGTGTGGAAGGTAAAACTCGCAAAGGTCCCAGCTGGTGCTGTGCGTGCGTAGACTGCTGTAGATTTTGTTGAAGGACTGCTTGGTGAGCAGCGTTCTGCAACTGTTGCGCTGCGTTGTGAATGATCGTCAACGGCGGCTTGAAGACCGCCTGCTGCTGCCACCCCGCAGTCGGGATCCGAGGCGGGCTGAGCCGATTCACTGCAGACGCCTGCGATGCAATGTTCACTTGCTGAAGAACTCGAGCGGGGCTGCACGCTTGGACCCGCTGGACCGTTGGCCCGGGATGATCCCCCCCACCTGGTGGCACCCGCGGCTCCGCAGTCGGGCACACGGGCGCTTGGACCAGCGGATGGTGTGGCTCGGGAGCTGCTCGAGCTTCCAGAGGAGCGCAGGGCGGCGCCGAGCTGCTCTTCCGCGGAGCCTGGCTGTCAGGAGGCCGGGGGGAGTTGTTGCTCAGACGCACGTTGGTCTCGCTGAGGTCTGGCGCCTGCTGCTGCTGCTGCTGCTGCTGGGGTTCAGTAACGCGGGTGATGACCGGCTGCGGACCGGTCAGCCCCGCGTGTTGCACCAACCGAGCGTGTGGCTGGCTCTCGGACATGTGGACCGCTCGGCTCCGGCTCTGGCTGACCTCCACCAGCCCCTGCTGCTCGGCTAACTGCTCGGCCAGTTGCTGCTGCTCCTCGGGGGTCAGGCCCGTGCCCTCCACGAAGGTGCCGTCGGGCTGCACGTAGATGATGGTGCCGGGGGCTCCGTCCGCGGCCACGCCCTCCAGCTCCTCGGTCAGCGAGAAGGTGGCCGCTTCCTCCACGGCCACCCGCACGTACTCGGGCAGCACCTGGGGCAGGTGGACGGCGAATTGTTTCGAGAGCACATGGGGGCGGTCAGTGGCAGAGGCGGTGGTGGCAACGGCAGTGGTCGTCGCCAACACTATCTCTTGTCGGTGGTGGTGGTGGACTTGTTCTTGGTTGTTGCTGCTGCCCGAGAGCTTGTAGTCGGCCGCCGCCATACTGGTCCCCGCTCACGGCCACCTCCTCGCCTGTCAGGCCGTCCTCCTCCTCCGCCATGTTGGCGGCCGTGTTTTCAGGCGGAGGCAGTCGGGTAACGTGGTGTGGGGTGGGGGGGGGGGTACAATTTCTGAGGCGGGTTTTTTTTTCCCGCAGGGCTGACTGAGGCGGCGCCGGGCAACGGAGCCGAGGAGACAGTCTCGCGGAAGATTAAAATGCCGGTTGAAAGGATTTAATGGGTCCCGACCGCTCCCCCTCCCCCTCCGCCCCCCCTCATTTTTTTTAAAAAAAAGTCGTTGGAAGGACGTCACGCGCGGCGTCGCCACAAGATGGCGGGGGGACGGGAGCCGGAGAGGCTCAAAGGAGCGACTGACGCTTGCGAGGAGCGAGCCGAACCGCCTGCAGCGCCCCCTTCAGCTCAGCGAGTGCAGAACATCCGCCCTCGCAGGCGGAGCCGACCTTGGTGCGCACGTGACCGCCCCCCCCCCACCTCTTAATATAAAATACACTTCATATATAGGTATTCTATTATATGTGTATATATATATATATAACATCAACGTCGAGTTTAAAAAAAAATAATTTTTTAAAAAAAATGTAAAAATAAATGGAGAATGTAAAAATAATGCGTTTTTAATTTAATTTAATGTGAGGGCAGAGGAGGAGGAAAAAAAAAGGCATCGCCCAACGTGGGGCTCGAACCCACGACCCTGAGATTAAGAGTCTCATGCTCTACCGACTGAGCTAGCCGGGCACTGGGAGCGCCGGTCATATTAGTCTTTATATCGTCAGAAGGTGCTGGTGGTGGAGGAGGCCGCGACTGCTGTGTATATATTTTTTTAACTCGTGGAGTCTTTGCTGCGTTCACAACGGGATCTCCCGAGTCCATCAACACATGGGTTCGAATCCTCTTCGGCCCTGACGATGGGCCTCGTCAAATGCAAGGATTATTATTATTATTATTATTATTATGATGATGATGATGATTACGTCGTGTCCCAAACTATATATCTATATATATGTATTATTTTCGAGCAGAAATTATGCAATACGGCTTATCGGGGCCGCGCTTTTAAGAAAGTAAAGGACTGAGTAAAGTAAAGACATTTACTCTATTTGCTCTTATTTTACTGTCCGAAGGCGATCTCCGAATAACTTTGCAACCGAGTCATTGCGGAGCGTTCAAGAATTTCAAATGATTCACCCGGTGTTATTTTTTTTTGGGGGGGGGGGCACCTCTGGGGCGTGTAATAAATTTTCGAAGATCATCGTTTCCGCTCAGCGTCGCCGGAGACGGTATTTCTCGTCGATCCCAACGTTCATCCCCCCCCAAAAAAATCGCCTACGTAACAGTCACTACACTCCCAACATCACTGTTGTCCAGTTTTTGCCTCCGAGATTGGTTCGCGTGATGAGGTCCCGCGTCAAAAAAGGAAGGTGTCGTTACGCTTGTCGCGATAGTGCAAGTTATTAAATCAGCGCAATGTGCAGATCAGGAGGGCGATAATAATCTGCGTAACAATACGTATTAATAATAAGCAGTATTACGCGAATCGGAAGGAGGATAATAATAATAATTAGCGGCATAATAATAAGTGTTATTACGCAGATCGGTTTAGATCATTCTCATCGCGTGTGGGATCTTTGGTAGCACCGAAATCTTCTCAGTGCTATTTACTATCCAAGAAGGCCTGGGCCCAGGAAGCCCCTCTCACTGGGAAGTGGGATTGCCTTTTGACCACCCGGCTCCGGTTTGGTTGGGGTATTCCTCTGGTGTGTGGCACAGCGATTTAGCACATTGTCCTTCCATTTTCAACCTGTAAGGTTGCAATACCCTAACCCAATAGGTACATTATTTATTCATCCTCTCACTCTGGTAAAATGATAATCCTTGCAATCCATTCTGGGGTTTTTTCCTGACTGATGTTTGAGTCTGTCTCCATGGGTGTTGTCCGCGCGCCCTGTTATTTCACCCTGGTGACATACTTCATATCTAAGCATCTTGATTCTGGGTCGGAATGAGGAGGGGATCCTCACGTTAAGACTCGAGTTGAAATTTACAACTGAGGTCCTTAATTAATCAATCAATCAATCAATCAAGTAATTAATTATTCAGTCAAAGTTTGCAAAATTCTGTTTTTTTCTCTATTTTCCAAAAAATGCAGATAACATTTACACAATTGGTACCCAACATTTTCATGAAAATCCAAGAGGGTTGATTTTGTATCTGGTAGTTATTGGAGAGGGTAAACCTGTGGTTTTAAGATATGAACCATGACACTAAGTCATAGAAATGCAAGACACAGTTGGAGGGCATCCAAATCCATTTTTTTNCCTGCAGGTGTCCGCTCCTCCGAGAAGCAATCCTAATGTTAATTGCCCACACACGCCAATGCTCTTCCTCTGCATATTCTCGTTTAATGTTCCGTTTAACCGGGGACCTCGCGTTACAATGCCTGGACTCTACCGTTATCGGATCCACAATCCATTCTAAGATCCACAATTCGCACAGAATTCAGAAAATATTTTCGGGTACCTCTCGCATAGATTTAAGAATGGTGTCGAGATAACGCTACGCCGAGTGCTTGGTTTTCACTGCAACGATGTTAATTGAACGCCACTCTTTTAATTGTTGCATTGACAAGGGAGTGGAGATGCTACATGACCTTCGCTCTCATCATTTGCAGCATTCAGCATTCGCCAATGAAGTCAGCGTTTCGTTGATTATTTGCCACTTAGTTGTCCTAAAGCATTGAAAGCACTGTACTCTCCCAATTATCTCCCCTGTTTGAAGCTATTAAAACCTGATCACTCTTTCAAGGAACCACACAAAGTGAGTGTTTTCTGACATATGGGTTTCACCTGCAGGTTAATAAACAATCATCCATTGTGTGGCTACACAGAAACAATGGTTAATTAATGGGGCTTTTTTGGGAGGAGTTGGGAAGGTGCATAATGGGCTTTGACCAGACTTTTACGAATAAATGCAGTGGTATCAAGGAGGGCTGTGAGCAGGAGATGGAGGGCTGTGAGCAGGAGATGGAGGGCTGTGAGCAGGAGATGGAGGGCTGTGAGCAGGAGATGGGGGGCTGTGAGCAGGAGATGGAGGGCTGTGAGCAGGAGATGGAGGGCTGTGAGCAGGAGATGGAGGACACACCTCCGGGATGTTATTGGAGAGACAGAGAGAGATGAGATGGAGCTTCGCGGCCCGATCCCGGATCGCTGTGGGGCTGTTTGGGGGGTGTCTCTGCTGCGAAGGACCGCGATCGGATCGTGTCATTCCAATCGGCCACAGCGTTGGCCATCATGAGGAAGGTCCACATGGTGTCTGTTTCCACCGCTCTGGTTTGCGCTGCCGCCCTCCTGGTGAGGAGGCTCTCCACCGGCGGAAAGAGTTGGACTTCCCAACGTGACTCCTCCACCTTCAGCTCTCGCCAACGCGAACGGCTGCTGCGGGAGATCGCAGGACGAGTCGAGGACATTCTCAGCCTCCGAGAGGCTGGAGCTCACCCGCCCTCCGCGGCCGCCCATCAGCCGCAGGAGGAACCCTCCCCGAGAGGAAGCTCTCGGGCTGATGGCGGCGTTGCCCTCCGCGCGTGGCGGGACGCGGCGGAGAGAGCCGTCGGGAACCTGACTCGGGGGACCATCGGGTGCAGCGACCTGAGACATCTGACAGGGGTCCGGTTCCTGGGCTCCGGTGACACCAAAACCGTCTCCAAAGGGGAACTGGAGGACGGCACCGGCGTCGCCCTGAAGTCGGTCAACGGCCGAGGGGAGGAGGTCGGGCGTTGTGTCCGGCGATATGGACTGACCCGAGGCTGTCACTCTCTGGCCGCCTGCAAGATTGTCAAAGAGATCGCTTTGCTCCAAAGGCTTCGGCATCCCAACATCATCCAGGTCAGCCCAGCCAGTCACTTACACACACCTCTGGGGGTGGGGATGGGGGCCAATCAATCGATTAATATCGCTTGGCTCTCCATTTGACTGATCGATCCATCCACACAGTGGATGTGGTCGACCTTCCAGTTTGATATCTTCCGATGAGCGGTCCAAGCGGAGTTGGTGCCCTTTCGGGCTCTGGTGATGCTCCGGGAGCGCGGGTTGGGTTGGGGATGTCCTTAACTTGATTTGTCGGATCGTTGCCGAGAATTGGGACACACGTCCCCGGAGTGTCTGACTCTGACCCGGTGTTGGCCATGGTCCCCACCCGGCCACCGAGTTGTCCTACAGTCGAGGAGGATGACTCTCCTGGTCCTCTGCTTCTCTCCTTTAGACATCCCCCCCCACTGGGGAGGAGTGATCCAGATGGAAACTACACCAAATCCCTTCTAACCCCCATTCCCACAGACCCCCCTCCACCCCCACCCCCTCCTCCCCCCATTCTCACCTTTTTATCCCCAGTGTGTGTGTGTGTTTTTTTTTAAAAAATCCATTGGGTTGGGGTTTAATTGGTTGGGGTTCGATTGAATGGGATTTAAAGCCTTGTTTCATTATCAGTGCTCAAACACGTTCGTTTATACAGTACTTTTGACAGTGAGAAAATATGTGATCAGAGCCGCATTGCAATGAGGGACTTGTGAGTGGCTGTTTGTGTGATGTGAGTTTTAGAAATAAACTCAGTGAGAGATCAGAAGTGGTTTTGCAGTTTGTGAATCGAGCATTTTTCAATACGGTATTGGTATCTACTTTGTCTTTAGTGTAACTACACTGTCTGTTTTGATTATTCCCCTCACCCAGTGGTTTGGGCAATGTTACAATGATAGATTGGAGGATGTGGCTGTGATTACAGCAGTTCTGGAGCTGGGAACCCCTGTCGAGATGATTCAGCTTTTGCAAACACCCTGGGAAGAGCGCTTTCGGGTAAGAAAACGAAAGAGAATTTAATCTGTGAATCTCGGCGCCGATCTGGAAACGCCAGAGCTTTTGCAAAGTGGATTGTGCGCTGACATCTCTGTAAAGAAAAGTTCCTCTCCAAACCCTTCTGATCGGCGTCTGGTGCAGATGGCACAAATGCGATGAGGAAATTAATATTCTGAAGAAACACGACCACTGACCCAACCTGAGGCAGAGGCAGATTCACCAGGAAAAGCAAGTTACTGCAGTCATCTCTATTAGATTAAACATAATAATGATGGAATCTGACATTCAGCTGCCAAGGAAGGTGAAGACCACGAATGCAGAATAATGACACAGACGTTTAAATGCAGTTTAAAAAACACGTGAAATAATACTTCTGCAATGAATAACAAAGTTGCAGTTAAATTCAGTTGTGAAGTGATGAAATCTTGCAAAGCGCTGCAGGTTCACAACACGTTAAGAGTTGTGCTTCTCTCTCCCCCATCCCTCCCTCCTGATTCTATGCAGAGATATGTAAACCAAAGCTCACAGAGGAGCTCAGTCCTGTGTCTGCTGGATGTACCTATTTCCTAGCAGTGGTTAGTGGATAGCTACTGGTGGTGGAAACTCCACTGTTATCCCTGCTGAGTTCAGCTAACTTGGCATGACTGACCCAGGATAGAAACTGAGATCTTCTTCATGGGTCAGTATCACACTTCAGATCTGTATTTACTCACTTAACAGAGGAGGCAGTTTCTCCTGGTGGGGTCTCGCCAACAAATTCCCCAAATAAAAAAATTGGTCACTCGCTTCATGACTGTTTGTGGGACATTGATTACATTAATGTGATTAGATGCTATATCAAACGCAAGGACTCTTATATTATTAAAACCATAAAGGAAGTCTCAGAAAGAGCACATGGGGAACTGTTATAGATGTTATTTGAATATAAAATAGATAATAACTTCAACTTTCCATCCTTAATGGTAAATATGCAAAACAACAACTTGGGCAGGTCATTTCGACTGCTGAGTGATGGTTTACAGTTGCTATGTGGATTGCGGGACTCTCGTTTTGTGCCAGTAAACTATATCAGTTTTCAAGACCTGCTGAAAAGCTCTATTTGTATTGATTTCAGATTTGCTTGAATCTGATAAATTTGCTCCATTATTTGGCTCACTCACCTCTGGGATCAGTGGTTTTGCTGGATTTTCATCCTCGCCAGTTTGTCATTGTGAATGGAGAGCTCAAAGTGACCGACTTGGATGACATCAGTACAGAAGAGCTTTCGTGTAAGGAAGATAGTGATTGCACACTGGCATTCCCCACCAGGAACTTCAACCTTCAATGTTCAACAGAGGAGAAATGTCAAGGAATAAATGAAAAGAGAAACCTTTATAATGCATTCAGGTACTTTTAGATCCACAGTGGGAACACAATGGATTTAAATGTTTTAACTGTCAAAGTACATTGATTTTTAATTTGGCATTAAAATTGAATTTCTAATCTCCTTCCCAAATAAATTAAATTATATTATTGGACTAATTCAAGCTTTCCAGTCTTGAATTCTATTTGCATTTTTTTCCCCATTAATGTTTTCTATTTCTTTTTAAAGATACTTTTTCATGTACTTGCTGCCGCACAGTGCACCGCCTGCCTTAACACCTCTTCTGAATGACATTATGAATGCAACAGGTAGTTACAGTTGAATGCATCAGTTCTTAACAGTGTTGGTTTGAAAGCGCTTTGAAAGAGTTCAAATGTTGTAAGGCGCTATAAAAATGCAAGTTCTTCTATACTAAGTGATTTGTGTTCAAAAGTGTTGTTTATACCATTAACTATAACTGCCATTTCTTCTCTACAGAAGACCTCCGATATGGAATTAATAAAACGCTAGAGATGTTTGGAGAAGTGTTGGATATATACAAATCTGGGCTGTATCGTATCAATCGTTCTCAGAGCTATCTGAAAGGTACTGTTCTCCTGTGCTGAAATTTTTGTTCTTTGTCTTTCGCTTCTCATCTTTCTTCCATGACACAGATTGTCTTTATTCCTCTTTTAGCTGGAAGAACAGATTTAATGGGATGTTGGTCTCCACAGGTAAATTGACAGATAATCCCATTCCTGCCTGGAATTCTGATCTCTTTCCTTCCTTTCATATCCAGAGATGAAGCTTTTTGTCCAGTGATAATGTATCCCATTGGAGTTAATCTTGTAGTAACAATCCTGCTGTGTAGCGCCAAATGTTGCTTTTTGATATTTGGAATTACAGGAGAGGAAAGTACAATTAGAATGACTCTAAAATTGGAACATCTGAATGGACCAAGGTGCCTTAAACCTAATTACACAACCTAATGTGTAGCAATAAACCTTTCACTTTTGTCCTTTCAGATTATAAAGTAGTTCAGGGATTTCACGTTCAAGGAAACTGTGACTATAAATGTTGGCCATCGTACAACCACCAGCGATGTTTGCTGTCAGCCCACGATGTAGAAGAGGCTGCAACCATTTGCCATTCCCATCGACAATGCCAAAGTTTTGTTATTACTCAGCAGACAACATGGACTGGTACAGTTACTTTTCCTTCCTCTGTAGCTATGTTGGGTAGCAGAACACAGAGCAGCTGAAGGACAGATGTTTCACAAAGCCGACTCTAGTGGTTGTTGATGGCCACAGAAAGATCTGTTGAATTTAAAATTGTGCTGAATTGCCAGCAGAAAAGTCAGAGTTTCCTTGTGATCTAACCATGTGGCAACAATCTGTTTTCTAAATCATAGTTAATCCAAATTTTCAGTCATCTACTTTTTATAAATTAACTTATTCGGCTCACATCAAACCACGTGTGAAGTCTATTCTACCAGCTGCTGTTGGTAAGAATAAATGCCTGAAGTGGACTGTTGCAGTCACCACATATTGGATACAATAAAATACTTACAATAAAGGCTTGTCAGCTATATCAGTGAATGCATAAATAATGCATAAGGACATCATAACCTAGTTGTTTCTTTGAAATGAAGTGCAAGTAAAATCATATCAAGAGCCAATAAACTGCTCCAGAGATGTTCGGGAGACACAAACAGTTTAAATACTGACTCGGATTGTGTTAGCAAGTGCTGGTGATTTTCATAACTTGACAGCAGAACAGATATAATTTGGTGATCGTGGGGGAGAGAACTAGATAATACATTTCATCGAATGAAGTTCTTGATTTATTGAGCTAGTCTGGTGAAGATACTGATTTTTAGTATGGTATAATGGAGTTGCAAATAACATACAATATGCAAAGGTAGATGTTGTTGGTTTGTATCTGCTCCACACAATTTTAACAAAAGTGTATCCAAGACAATGCACAAAACAGCACAAAACAGTTGTAGAGAATGATAGATTTTACAATTAGCTCTTCATGAACAGACTAACTGCATCTGTGGACAATTGGTAGGAAAGCATTTTTTTTTTTAATTTGGGGTATGTGGAGTAAGGAAATTTGCCTAAGGTTTCACCCAGCCTGGGAATTGAACCTGGGTCCTCTTGCTTGTGAGGTGAGTGCTCTAACCACTATGAAACTCCACATTTTGGAGTTTAAAAATGTGGATTGTGCAAAGACTGAAATACTCTCCTGCCGATACTTAGTGCTATTGGTTAAATACATTGCTTCCCAGTGATCTCTCTGCTAATGGTGAGCATTCATTTTGGTCAAAGTCAAGAGTGGTTGGTGCCAAACATGTAATTTAACTGGGGCATTAGCTAATGTTCAGGGAACTTTATGTATGATGGGTGGTAAGAACATCCAACCTAAAAAAAACTATTATTTTCCACAGGACGAATCTTGACATTGTTCCAAAGCTGCATCAATCTGATACAAGATACTAACTCAACTGTCTACATGAAGTCTAGTAGCTTAAAGGCACCTCTGTGAAGAAGCAACAGATCATAAGAAAAGCTTATCTAGAAAGAAATCTGAGACTTAATTATGGCTTCAGGAATTAAATCCTATTTCAGTTATTTGCACTACAACTGTTTGTTTAATATGCCAGCAACTAAACCACAGATTCTTGAATTAGATATGAACATAGAATTATTGGATCTCTTCCAGGGAAGGATCACCAGTCAGGAGATGCTTGCCAAAATATTCAGTGTTATTCCTCAAGTAGGTTTACTCTGCAATTTTGTAATGGTAGTATTGTGAATTTTGCAACTTTAAAAGCTTTCCAGGAGAGAAGCACTCCTTAATATGTGGAGGGGGCGGACCACCGTATCTGTAATTTAAGGAGATTTTATATGTTGCTCATGGAGTAGTGATGGACAAGAGAAATTCTTATAGGTACTGTGTAGCAAACATAACTGAAAATGTACTGACCTTGTAGGTTACACTTGTACTTTCAATGAAAGAATGTAATACATCAACATTTTTTTAAAAAAAGAATAAAATTACAATGCAGAGAAAAAAGGAAGTTTCCATGTTTATTTCTAAGATCTTCATATTTATTCTTTGTGTAGGAATGAAGAGATGAGGATTGAGAATAAAGCCTTTTCTGTTAAAGAATTGTGTGGGTCCCAGAAACGGAAGTGTTGTTGCTTAATGAGCCAATGTGCCCTCTTTCATTCCAGACCCTAAACCAAGTGGAAACAGTATGGATGTTGCTGTAGGACAAATGATGTATGAGGCTTCATCAATCTTCTGTTTACCACACATATATTTAATATCATTGATAAGTTAACTCATTGGTGTCTGAGATAAAAAAAAATTAAAATCTAATCTCTGTATGCTATTGACAAATCAGTGAAATAATCTTGATATGTAAAAAAGCCTCCATGACAATTATAGGTGCAGTCCTGTTGCTCAGTGGTTAGAGCACTCACTTTGCAAGCGAGAGACCTGAGTTCAATTCCAGGCAGAGGGCGAAACCTTGGGCAAGTTTCCTTACTCCACACAGAGCCTAATAATAATCCCTCCAAAAACAATAATAAATTGGTCATTTTCAATCTACGACTGTTTGTGGGACATTGCTGTGCGCAATTGGCTGCCACCAGGGCATCTGATAAGTGTGTTGATGTCTAAATGTGGGCTGGTAATGCATTAATCAGAGTTAACGAGTTTCTTTATGCCCTGAAGCTGAAAAAAACAAAGCCTTACCTCTTCCACGGTGCCAAAATGGCCTTGGTTACACTGCAGCTTCAGGCAATATTTTGACATTTACAAGGTATAGTGTGTGCTATTATGGCAGGCACTAAATGACTGCAGAGGCATAAACTTAGTATATTTTTAATGTTCAATGTTTAACTTATTTCTGTGTCTTTGGAAGAATTTCTCCCTCCTTTCCTTCACCCTCACTTTATCTCCTCAAACTGGCAGGAGTGATTTAGGCTGGGACTACATCTGATACAATTGTGCAATCTTTTGACCATGTGCATCCTGGTGTTGTGCAGGAGCTAGATACGTTTCACAGCAGTTATGGGGAGCTTTAAGACCAGCCTCTCAGAATTAATTTCAAAGTCAAAATGAAAGCCAAGAGGTGATTTTTTTGGCACTCAAAATGAGCGACAATTGGTCTGTATAATGTAAACATTACAAATTATCAATCTAAAGATATTACATACCTTCACAAAGCCCCATTCATCTTCCTCCAAATACTCTGTAAAGTTACACAATGGTATATACCTGTACCCAGGTGGTTCTCAGTATAAATTGTGACAATTAGATTCTAACACTATATGTTCTTTAACTGTTCACTTCCATTTTTGTTACACGTTGCAAACGGTTACAGGTATTTTTCACACAGCTTTTCCCTCTCCTTTGCTGGAAGTATTAACTATGTTTCAACCAGGGAACAAGAGCATTCTTTATGCGTACACCTGGATGGTGAAAGTCTCCGATCTACTCAGAGCATCACACCTGAGCTTGTCCTCAGCTGAGATCTATATAGGTTTGTTCCCGACATTTATCACTGGATAGCAATTGAGCAGGAACAGTGGCTGATGTTTTTTAGCTCAGGGCATTGAGACCCCTTGTACCATAATCCACCTGAGTTGAGACCAATGAACTCAACACAAATTGAGGATTGAAAGTGGGATTCTCCTGCTCTATATGGGTCAGGTGTTCAAAAGGATAACTCAATCAGTCATTGAAGGAGCAGAACAATTAATTTGTGTAGAATAGGATAAGAAAAACAACATTGCTTTTCTTGATCATCTCATAAAAAGATAGTCATAGGAGATTCTAGTAAACTCCTTTTTACTAATTATCTAGTAATTACTACCCATCTACTAATCAATTTTCCTTGGTTAAGGAACCCTAAGCGTTGCTGCTAAGGATTACATCAGTTTTACAAAGAAGTTTTCCAGAAATCTTTTATATCAGTTTTATAAAGAACTTTCAATTGAGAAATCACTAGGTCATGTTACTGTCAAATCAATTAATTCTACATTGCATAAACATTATATTACTATAAAGAACATGCTTTTGCTGAATGTTTATATAGTCTGACATTATTTAATCCCAAGGTTTTACCCATAATGTATACACATGTTAGAAATGTTTAACCACTTTAAGGTTAAGGGTTAGAAGAATACAAAATTAATCACAACTGAAACATTCACAGTGAACCAGGTTAATGCTGTTGTGTGCGGGGTTTCTCTCATTAAGCCACTGAATCTCCCCAGCAAGTGGATCCTTTTACTTTGAAAAGTTGAGATCCATCAGACTGGTACTTTTTAGCTGTCAGTTCCAAGACTTTTTAGTCTCGATTAAAAGAATGATAATGGCTTTGGGAGAATTTATACAACTCACAAGGTGCAGGACCTGCAGGCACACCTCATGATCCTTATTCTGAAAAAGGGTTCTCTGAGATGTTGGAATATTATAGGGAACTGATATAAACATTCTATACTTAAATCTCCACTATCCTCTTCCCTCTACAGAATAATAATAATCTTTACATTTGATATAGTGCCTTATCACTGAGTTGTCTCAAAACGCTTCTCAAATCTACTGTAAAGTGGATTGACTGTGCATTTTGTGGGTGAAATGTGGCAGCCAATTGCACACAGCAACGTCCCACAAACAGATATGGATTGAGCGACCAAATTATTTTTATTATTATTTTTTGAAGGGATATTACCATAAGACAGGCATCAATCCACTGGTACCCAGAACACAGAAATTATCAGATCTTGTGGAGAATTCTTCATTTCATTCCCTCAATCCTTCACACCATGTTGAAAGATAAAGGGAATGAAATGAAGAATTCTCCACAGGGCCTAATTCTTTGCTGAATTATTTAATAGATGCCGCACCAATCGTTTTTGTGAGGGACTGTAGTATTATAAAGTTAGCTATTTCAAGAGAGAAAAAAAGGATTTTTTTTTCGAAATGATAATGGACCATGAATGTGTCAGGTCTTTGTACGAGATGCATCTGCACTTAAAAACATTTCAATTGCTGAAATTATAGTGGAGGTCAACAACAACTTGCCTTCATATTCTATTCACGCCAGATGGCTTCTCAGAGCGCTTAAAGATCAACCTTTGGGGGTTGGGGGGGGGAAGGAGGCTACATTTTCAAAGCAAAAGATTTAGAACTGAGAAATATTCAACTAAATCCCAGTAATTAAGGAACAGGATTTTCCCTTTTATTTTTTTGAAGTTGATTAAAGGATTAGCAAATGTAAAATATCTCATTGGCCAGTGGCCACTGCTCTAGAGGCTAGTTTCAAATTATTGCCTGTCAGCTCCAAAGCTTTAAGTGGGATAGAAGATTAGAGCTGCGTACACACATTAAAAGATCCTCCTTGAATCTCTTAGTTCTCTACAGCTGTGTTTCACATAGTTGATTTCAATCCCTTTTGCCCTGACATGGATCTTCTGTTTTATATTTACCATTTTACTTTGCTCCTTGTGCATAGTTGGGGAGTTGGGGAGTCCATGAGTTTGTTTCACATCTGTTCATTTTTATTCGCACTGCCTAAGGTACATGCATTTTAGGTTCATTCTCATGTAAGAAGCTCTCAACCTTGAGTAAATGTTTTATGTTCAAATGTCAATGGATTAGCTGCATTATTAGAAGATGATTATTCACCTTGTAACTGCAGAGCGTAAATGTGGATGAAATTCTCTAATCTCCAGAAATAGCGGAGTATTGATGCTAAAGCCTGCATGGCTCTCACCTTTAGGACAGCTGTCGCCACTATGAAGCTTTGGCACAGTAACAGTGTGGAGCTATAGCTGTATAAACGAACCAGCCAGAAGCTGATCAAATAGATCAATCAGGTGCAGAGGTGAACAACCACTGTGTTAACTATTGTACATACGTTTACTGTTAAATATCCTGAATATAACACTTGAAATCCTGTAATTATAATCATATTAAGCTTTGCATTTAATATAGCACCTTATCACATCTTTGAAGCATCTCAAAGTGCTTCACAGAATATACTCTATAGTGAATTGTATATTGTATATATGCAAAGATGGAGTTGTGCACGAGTTATAACAATGTGATATTAAAGGCAACGATGCTTCTTACAACCATTAGAAATATTTCAGATTAATGTATTTGTGCCTTCACATATTGGTTTTATTATCGAATATGTTCCTGCTTAAAAACTCTCCAAATCCCAATACAGCAGTAATGAGTCTAAGCTGGAAACGAATTGCTTTCCACGAAGACAGTGTTTGATGGGCTCCATTTCAAGCTGTTCTCAGAAACAGACCACTTCAAAAAGTTGTCCGTTGATAAACCAGGATGACTGTTAAGAAAAATGCTTTTAATAGAAATATGAAGGAAAGCTGGCAAACGTTACACAATAAAGATTCTCTTTCAAAGATCCGGGCCAGTATTTCTGTACAACTCCCACACATTTGCCATCTCAACAATTCTTTCATTAGTTTTGTTTGTCATTATGCTTCCTCACAGTTAGCCTTTGATGTTCTAACACTTTAAATTCTCTAACAGCAGTGCAATATTAAAGGAATTAAAGGAAATGTTTTTGTGAGAATGTCAACTGTTCTGTGAAGTGCTGATAAAATTGTTACGTTGTGGGCTTGTGGCTTGGATGAAAGCAGCTTGACTTTCTTTCACTTGGGAGCCTTTAAAGAACCTCTTAAACATGGTGATGGGTTTCCGCTTGTGTCAGGCAAAAAAAAACCACACGAGACATCAGGTCTCAAACTCTGCATGCACAGCAAAACTCAGAGGTTTAAGTATAGTTTGAAGCACTTGTTGAAAGGAAGTAGGATCGGATTGATTAACTTGCCCAGAGTAACTTGGAGTTACTTTACTACTGCAGACATAAAAGGGGAAGCCTGTGTCAAGTTTTTCTAGCTCCCGCCCACCTTACACCGTACATCAAGTTATCATATTCTCTTTCTTTAATATACTCTGCCAAGCAATCTTGCTCCCAGGCATGTGAGCTTGTGATACTGTGAGTTCCATGAAAT